CGCGCGCGTTACGCGCGCGCGCCGCGCGCATGTAACGCGCGCGCCTTATTTCGCGCGTAACGCGCGCGCGCGTAACGCGTTATAACGCGCGCGCGTAACGCGCGCGCGCGCGTAACCCGCGCGCGTAACGCGCGCGCGCGCGTTACAGTTTTTGCACCTGCTTAGAAAGATGAAAAATTATAGCTTAATAATAGATTATAACAGTTCCACCTCCTTGTCTTTCATCATGAATCAGGTCGTCCGATCCTGCACTCACTACCCCAGTGGTCGAGGCTACGCCGTGAAGATTTTCGATAAAACGCGGTCTTCCTGGGACAATCGAAAGAAATTAGTCTACCGAGAAGTGAAGTTGATGGAGAAAATTTGCTGTTACAACGAACATATCTGCAATTTCGTAGAATTCGTAGATGGCGAGCATTTTTTGCATTTGTTCATGGAGGAAGTGAACGGAGGAAACTTGCGACAGGAATTGAATAAGAAGCAGCTGAGGAGAATAACGGAGAATACGGTACTTCTTGTTCCAGTTTTTTGATTTCTAGTCCTTCGTCTTCGAATAATTACTTATTATACAGTCTTTTTCTTTAGTCTAGTGATTAGTTGATTTTTAGCTGATTTGTTTTTCATCCTCATCCTCAGGTCCGGGACTACTTCTGGCAGATTTGCGATGGCATCGAATATCTGCATCAAAACTTGGTCGTCCACCGCGACATAAAACTCGAAAACCTACTGCTGCACTATGGGCCGTCTAGTGAGGGTGCATCCGGCAATAGCACTTCGGGTCAAGGACAGATCAAGACGATAGTAAAGATAGTCGACTTTGGATTTGCAGTGAAGCTTCAGAGCCCGTGTCAAAAGCTGAAAGTGTTCTGCGGCACACCGAGTTACATGAGCCCGGAGATCGTGGCTGGGAAGGAGTATAGCGGGTTTCAAAGTGACGTGTGGGCGTTGGGAGTCGTAATAGATTTTTTCAATGCTTTTATTTGTTACTACATAGAAGTGTTTCTCCTCGTAGAAGTTGTTGAATCAATTATGTTGTATTGTTGTCCCTTTGTTTTGTATTCAACACGGCATGGCCGTAGAGCCGCGGACCTTTAACCTTGAACCTTTGTAGTTGTAACCATTTTCACAGTCATACCAAACCTAAGCACCCTGAAGACCACGTCTCGCGCTCACATCTCAGGTCCTCTACGTCCTCCTCTTCGGCCGCTTCCCTTTCAAGGCCAACCAAGAACACGAACTGTATCACAAGATTAGACGTGGCAGTTTTTCGCTCGCGGATTCTCATGTCTCCTCCACGGCGAAAAGAGTCATAAAGGGCATCCTCAGAGTTGACGGAAATTTGCGTCCTGTGGTGTCGCAAGTCGCCAACCATAACTGGGTTTTGCAAGGGAGGCCTGCAGAAAGCGTCGTGAGTGTCCACTCGAATTTCAACACTCTGATGGCGGGTGGATCGAGGGGAACCAGATCGATAATCAGCAACTCAGGAAGCGAATTTCAACTGTCGACGGTATCTATTGTTGTAAATTCCTTTTACTTGTTTTTAGCATCATGCTGTGATCAACAATGCGTATCGTCTCTATCTAGTTGTGAACAGAAGTTGCAGTAGTTTGTGCATGATTTTTGTTCAACAATTTCTAACTTATTGTGATCATTCCTTCACCTGCTTCTATTTCAGGGCGGACCCGGTAGTACGTATTCCGGTGGCGCAGATTCAACAACAGAGACACCGAGGGCCTACGCTCTTCAAACGGAACGCAAGCTTTTAGGTGGTTCTCTCAGTGCCGGAAGCTTGGGTTAAATTAAGTTGTTTTGTTTCTCTAGCACGAGCCGCAGTAGTTGTCGTGACTAGTGAGTGCTTAGATAATGAATACTCCGTAATTGACAGTGTCTGTGCTACGAGCGCTCTTGTGTTTATTTTTCTCTACTCCCTGCATTATGATGGGTCATCGTCATGAGAATCTGCGATACGGTATAATAAATTCGACCATGGTGACTATAATCCGCACGCATGAAGAACTCGATGACTGTTCTCTATCAATTACATGTGAAATGTAAGTCGTGCCTGGGGTCGAACGAAATCATAGCTTGTTGCTTATCCGCCTAGGAACATGATCATGTCAACCACCTCTCAGCCATGAATGTTCATGTTTTTCTGTTTCTATTTATCTGGTCATTATGATTTTAGTTCGAGTAGCTGAAGATCGATAGAATATTTAATAGATTCCCCAACATGATGTAGATTTCGAATGCTGAGCTATTTGAGAGCAGTCTTTCAATTACTTAAATGATATTTTCCTGCATGTCGTTATATTTGAGAATATGGCATTTCAGCTTATTAGCAGTACTAGTAGTTCGTTGGTGGAGGTTCGACGTAAGGGACACTTCTCTAATTGTACATATTGATGATCTAATTTTTTGTTCTGGGTCGTGTTGTTAGGCATTGTAGTATTTCTAGAAATAGGACTTGTTGTTGTTGTCAGAACATTTTAAGTCCTAATATCCCGAAACAGGTCATAATGATCCCGAACAGGCCACGTCGCACGCAGGTGGCCCGCCGGTCGATGGTCGTGTTGTAAGAGGTACGTAGGTATTCGTTCGAGGGATGTATTATGATACATCACAAGCAACTCCTAGTCCTACTTCACAAGAAGAACTAGCCTTCTACGATTCAGGCACCGTCAAAAGTGCTTGCGTCGTCCGATTACTATCGTCCACGTGCTGTACAGTTTGTGGATAAAGGATAATATGAACTTCACAGTGGGATGAAATTATTCCGGGAACGATGAAGATATCGCAAGTTGATCGGCAGCGCGTTCAACAAAACTAAAATGGATTGCGAATGGTTCGAATAAGGGTTTGTTCTCAGCATGGTATCTCGGATTCTTTGGCGCTTACCGATTCCGATTCGGCTACTGTTGCTGAGCGGCAAACATCAAGTGGAAGTCGGTTCCATCGGCGCATGTGTTGTGAACAATTAGAGAGATAATTGCATCTTCGGTTCCTTCCCTGTGTTAAGACAATACAAAGCCAATTTCTTTTTCCACCTCTTTCTTCTTGAATATTCGCCTATAGACATCAAAAAAATATGTCGGCTGCTTTCGTCGCAAAAAAAAACGCGCAGCATGGCACCACAAGAGGGAACTACGAACCAGAGGATTCCAAACCCTGGTCACTGATCCACGAGGAGCGGACGATAGTGTGGTTGCGAGGATCTAAGATCCAGCAGATGGGCCAGCACAAAACGTGCGTCCGTCTCTCACCATTTGACCTCATGTCACAAGGTCGTGCCGTTCCGCTTTGCTATTTCTTTTTATGAATGGCCGATGACCGATTAAGAAGTAGATGAAGATTTGCACTCTTGTTTGAAGAAAAAAGTGCAGGTGTACGCTTCTCTCACTCTTGATGTGAAGAGTGTAAATCTTTTTGAAATCGAAAATTTTGAATGGTCATTTGGATACTGCGAGGCTGCATGTGGCAATACGCAACGTTTTGGAAGCCCACAATGCATATCACATTCTCTGCGGACGTTACGATACCACCAAATGGGGTAAAGTTCGACTAACCAATGAGGGAGTGCCGGTTCACGTGGCTTATCTTCGGAAGACGGAAAATAATGATGAGTCTGTTGGCGAATCAGTCGGTGGTAAACCGACTTATCAACATCCTGCGGTAGGGCACATATTAAGCGGCGACGGAGATGCAGGTAAGTAGTCTAAATTATCATGCTTCTCGTTCTCACATCGGCTAGTACTGTTCAAGCAGTCATCGATTGAGATTGCTCCGAGTAGAGGGTGCTGAGGACGGCCTTCTGATCATTGGCAACATAATACATTGCAGGTACAGAAGCGAAGTTTTTCGACACTTGGACACACGAAAGCTTCGTGCCCGATAAGAACGGCATCGATCCTGATCCTGGTTCACCGACCACTCCTTTGCTAGCTGTGAAGTTGACGCTGTTATTTGACAAAAAAGTAGGGACGACTGAAAAAGCTGGCAACCAGACAGCTGCCCTGCCGGATACCAAAGGGCTTTCTTGTTGCGGCTCTGTTCTGGGTTTGCTAGTACAGCATAGCATTCTCGATGCAGATGCGATGTTCACATTGGTGCGCCGTTGGGCTGCGGAGTATACTAGACTTGGACGAGTGGGAGAAAAAGGGGAAGATGTAGAGGACTCTACAGCGATCGAAGGATCAGGAGAGGCAAACGACCTGGCAGAGCAGGACCACGGTCACGATGATGAAGACTACTCTCGCTGGCTACCCGCCTGGTCATCAAAAGACCTAGATGGAGCAAGTACATCAAAAACAACGTCCGATAGCAGCTGCCATCTTCCAAAACATCCGTTTAAAGTCCGTGCGATTCCACCAGGTGTGCCACCGATACCAGAGTTTGCCCCAGTACTGCAGAAGATCCACGGAACTACAGTTTGTGTGGTGCCTTGCAGCGCAGCCTTCCTTCGGAATCTGAAGCAACGATTGTGCGCGCAGTTGGAGACCACACAACTACAAGCTGTTGCAGCATCGTCATGCGTAATATCCGAGATGAAACCGCCGCACTTCATTTCCACTGACGACGCACTGACCGCGTTGATATGGCGGTCTATGGTTAGGATGCGTTGGAGGCAACTCACTTCCGAAGATGGTGCTCATCCTTTCTCAGCAGACGAGGCAGACTTCGGGAACACTACGTGTTCCAGAGCAAGCAATTTTCGAAATCGGACCACCTTCGGTCCAAATTACGTCGGGAACGGTGTATGTTCCGTCTTCACAGAACGTCCTATTGCGGAATTTTTGGAAAACTCGCAGAGTACAGGAGAGAACTCTACTTCGTCTAGTTTCCTCTGTTCTCTCGCTCTTTCTCTCCGACAGGACCTAGAACTGCAACACAGTGCGGATGAGGTGGATCGAAGGGGGAAATGGCTTTATCGAGAACAAATGAACGACTCTGCGACTAAGCTGGTTTGGGACGATCGAGGGATGACGTTCATAATATCGTCATGGAATTTCGATTGGGAAGGCGCTAGATTTTATGGCGTTCTTAAACTCTAAATCTAATCAGAAGGACACTTTCTAGTACTTATAACTATTTCAATGATCTTCAGGATCCGGAGTGGTGAAAAAGCTTTCTCAGAAAGTCTGAATCCATCATCTTCTCTCCAACTCTAATACTCTGGAGACGCCTTTTCCGGTGACGCTGGGACGCCTATTCTTTTCGATCACGGTGCCAACGTTCCAGTCGTGAGTGTTTTCGTCCCTCGCCCGAAAGGAGATGGCTTTAATGTCTACTGTACTGGCCCACGACCAGCTATGGAACAATTTGCTTTGGAAATGAGGCCTGATGTTATCTTGGGGCAGTAGGAAGGTTGAGGTTTCTTTCTGCTGATCTTGAATGCCAATACTCTTCAGTACGACGCAAACAGTTGTTCTTCACTGGGTGGTCTCCTACTCTTTGTTCTGTGGGATCTTTATCACGCAAGATGAAAACCCATACAACTAGCTCTAGTCATGAAGCCGTGACCGTGTTCTTCCTCAATTCGAATCTTGTGTGGTCCTTGGACTCATATTATAAGACAAGCGACAAGAACGTGTTCCGCACCTCCTACGATCTTTGATGATGTGAAGGCGTTGCAGAATACAACCATGATGCTCTAAGTCTCTCGCAGCTAATCCTGACTGATCCTCCACTGTCTGTACAATCTTCTATGTCCCACTTTGGCGGGCAATACCCGTCTCTCACTTGCGTGACACAGGATATCATGGATGTGTTACTTTTTGACCAGAGGCTTGGCTTGATTTTTTGAGTTGATGATCTGTCACTTCTGTCTTGGTGCTGGCCTAATTACCGAAGACCATTTAGTATCTCCTCGGTCTAATGATCTAGTTCTTTGAACAAGAAGTACTACATCTTCACCAACTACTAGCAGTTCAAATTGGGTACATTTAAGTAGTCAAAAATGTCGTCCAGTAAAAGGTGGGACTTCAAGCTCGAGTCTTCTGTGCCTGGCAATGCTTTAGCGGATCCTGGTCTCGGATGGAAGGCTGATGAGAGTTCCTCGAGTTCGAGTGCTGCAGTAGTTGGAGGAGCTAAGAAACCACTACAAGCTGGCGTGGACAAGTCTTTTCTTGACAGGAAGGCATGGGAGGCAGTCATGCAGCCAATTCAAGGGGTACAGATTTTTCATAATTATGAGTGTGCGCTCAGGTACAGTAAGCAATTCTGGGGTCTGTCACAGACTGTGTGTATGGGGGATTAATTCTTAGTCAACACTATTCTTTCGTCAAGAAAAGAAATCGGCGTTCATCATCAAACGGCACATTACAGGTCTTCATGAATATGTTCATGTTGTGGATGATGGGCAGTAATCCCGGTATTTTCGGCATTTTGATGCTCTCTTACTCCATTTCCGGGGCCATTGCGCAACTGAAGAACGTCAATAATGTTTTTCTGCCGTTTTCGAATCAAGGAGTGGACTGCAGTTTCCAGAAGATAGCCTATGTCGCGGTTTGCGTCTTCGTACTAGGATATCTGACATATAGCGCCAGTGGAATGGGCCTATTGCCGACACAGACAGGTGACTGGATATCGAAGATACTGTACGTGCCGATTAAAGAACGACTCTACTTGTAAACAGTGGATGAACTAGCTGCAGACGAGTATGCTGTATCAATCAAAGAGGAATACATGAAGACTTCTCAGCCACCATTTAGCCCTACGTTCTTGATGCTGTGGTGGGCATGATGGAAATTTCCAACCCTTCCCATACGCCCCCAGTTACCCCTACGACGCCCTCATAACCATTTTTCTTCTTGTGAATACATATCACCGACATTGATCGTGCGCGCACAAAAATAATTCTTGCATTTCTACTACTTGTCGTGTCATCGTGTTCAACGGTCATATCCATTCTGGCTTGTTAGTGAGACCAGTTAAGATGACGAACATCGCACTCCATCAAAGAAATAACGGAAAAATGAAGAAAGAGTAAGAGTTGTGGATAGGGATAGGCATCAGAAAATCACTCAAATAGCACACTGAATTTTTTTAGTTAACATTACTCACTTGATCAGCACCAGAAAGAACACAAAATGTCGCCTCCAGCTTCGTTCCTCTCTTCCCTCGTCTACTGCCACTTGCCACGACTGCTATTGTGGAGCGTCGTCGCAGGATTGGTTATACTATGCCCGTTCACCAAGACTGAGGAAAGCTTTAACATGCAAGCGGCTTACGACCTGTTTTACAAGAGGGATGAGCTTGCGAGCTACGACCACATCCAGTTTCAAGGTGTGGTGCCGCGGACATTTCTTTGTGTAAAGTGGATCGAGATGTTGCTTTTTAGACCATTAAGGATGTTATTCGGAGACGGAGCGAATAGCTTTCTGCTCTCAGATGGAATGGCCGTGTGCTACTTGGTACGACTTTTCGTAGCCGCTTGTACTTTTTTCGCTTTTGTACACTTAGGGAAGAGCATTTCGACACTGGCGAGGTCGAGGAATGGTTCTGCTAAGAAGGAGCAGAAGTCGGAGATCATGAGGCAGAACACCTATGATCACCATGCCATTCTTTTGATGTTCCTGAGTTCGCAGTTCCATCTAGTTTTCTATGGGAGTCGCACGCTCCCGAACACCTTTGCCTTACAACTCTCGACTGTGGGTTTGTCTTGGTGGCTCCGCGGTGCCGATTTTCGTGCCGTGTTTGCACTCACTGTCTGCGCGCTCGTTGTGCGGTGTGAAACTGCATTAATGTGGGCGGCGGTTGCAGTAGATATGTTCCTCTTTTCAAAACGACCATACAGGCGACTATTTTGCAGATTCTTCATGCCCTCTCTCCTTGCAGCTTGCGTGGCACTGCCGGCAACGATTTTCGTCGACAGCTTCTATTGGCGGCGGAGTGAATACAGCGTTAATCTCTGCAAGTTGGACTTGTTGCAAGTAGTACAGCCAACGTCAGCAGTTGTAGGGACACCAGGGATATACTATCCAAATACAAGTGCTCCAGGTCTCGTCGGCACAGTACGTGGAAAGCTAGAAGTATTTTTGCTCTCCATTTCGCGACTTTTATTTTCGCAATCTTCAAGCGAATTAGCGAGCTCAGCACTAGCCACTTCAGGTCTCGCCTATTTCGACCACAGCGCGCAAGCAGTATCGGATGTCTTTAGCGTGGGTGTCCGAAATGCGCATTCGCAGCAAAAGAATCTCTGCAACGCCTACACCGACAGCCACATAATCGGCAGAACGTTGCGTAATTTTACGTGGCCAGAACTTGGGGTTTTCATTTTCAATGGACCGCAAAATCGGAGCACGGAATGGGGTGTACTGCCATGGCATTGGTATTGGTCGAACGCCATTCCAAAAGCATTAGGACCGCTCATTCTGATTCTAGTCCTCGAACAACTGATGTTCGTTCTTGGGTATAGGAGTAGCAGGAAGATACTATTTGGCGGAGGCGGTAGTGTAGAAGAAGAACAAGAAGACCTTCAAGTTTCTGGTAAAAGTACAAGTGGGGGAAATAGTCCAGCATGGAAACAAGCTGGGGCGGCTCAAAAGAGTCGAGAAGACGGAAATAAAGCCAGTACATCGTCTACTTCTAGTGATGGTAAAGAAGGAAGTAAAACTAAAACACGAAGTAGCGATAAGAACAGCAATATGAATTCCAAGAATTATGCTGGCCCTGATCGTGTTTCGCGCATGGCAGCTTATCGCATATTAATCGTGTGGGTGCTTGTTCCTGTAGGAGCCTTGTCTGTACTAGGGCACAAGGAATTGCGGTTCATTTTTTTACCAATAGTGGCTTTGTTAACGTACCTCGCTTTCATTGCGGCAGAACGAAAGGCGTCACTCAAAGCCGGTAGAAGTAGCATCGGCTACTCCTTTCTGTTACTTGGCTTTGTCGCTGTCCAGTTTGCAATGTGCGGTGCACGCACGTTGGCTTCGCTTTACAACTACCCTGGCGGATGGGCAGTCTGGAACATGCAAAGGGAAAGACTCCACTACGAAAAGGACCTTTATGTTATCTCCAGTGGTACACCATCTGCTGCAACAGTGGACGCAGCTTTCTCGAAAAATACAAATACCAATCTGCACAATGACCGCAACAAGAAGACCAAGGCTAGTCTGGAAGAAAGTCGACAACTAAGAAGTAGAATGGAGATGCTTCTGCGAGATGTTGGAAGTGGTGCTCGGGGTCTCCTTCTGGCGTCTGCAGGTAACGCCACCATGACTAATGGCACTTTTGCTAGTTCTAGCGCAACGTCTTCTCAAGCGGCCGCGCAACGAAGGCTGACCGGCAATGATGCATTGCTACTTGCCAAGCTTGCGGAACTAGAAGAGTCATCTACATCTTCTTTGTCATCAGTAGAGGAAAAGCCTAAGAAAGGGAGAAAGACTACTGGTGCAAACGAAAATCGTTTCTCAGTCGGTTTCTTCAGCCGCCTGTTCCAGATGCGCAACGATTTGGTGGATAATGGAAGAGGTGCTGACATCTATTTCTCAATCGATCTCTTCGAGTTGACGACGACCTTTCACGACAGCATTTTGCAGCGATTCCTTGAGCCGATCGGTGTATATGGCGCACTTAATTGGATCGCGAAAGCTGTTAGCATTGGGCTGCACAAACTCAGTGTGCGTGCGAAGAATATGTCCGACATCGTGGAGTCGCTTTTGTTCACCGACCCTCCTACCGCGAGACAGCTTTTGGTCGATTCACGGACAACTCAGGAGCTGTTGAAAGACAAAATGAATGATGCTGAGGATAACAGTGCTGCTGCGTCCAAGAAATCATCGACTGAAGTAATTGTAGAGCAAGAGGGAACAAGAAAACCTTCGGAAGAGTCATTGTACCTATATTGGCGGACGCGCAGAATAGTCCGTTTCATAGACGCTGTCACCAGGGAGCTGCGGTCAAGTCTCGACGCGCATTTAGATAATTATGGCTCGCTTCGAAAGGAAATTAATATCAGATTTTTGGACAAATTCGAGATTACACACATCATTGAATCCCGTAGTCTACAATTTCAATTTCTTCTAAGGCAGAATACACTTTATCGTCGCACCTGTGACGCGATTTTTCCGCCTTTTCGTGTGCGGTTTCTGGACATTTGAGGGCAACCGTCTATTTTTTCCGATAGAGCCGTGGCTGCCAGTTGCTAGTGTTGGGCGCGCTGGCTCGGTCTCGGCACTGGAAAAGGACGAAAAGGAGGAGAACAAACTGGTCTTTTTCAATGCCACTGCTGCATTGGAAAGTGTAGTAACTGAAGGAGATAGAAGTAAAGGTCTTCAAAATGTAGCGATTCTAGAACGCTTGCGGAAAATGCTAGAAGCGACGAGTCCCGGTAGCTCTACAACAAGCGCAGAGATTGCAACAAACCGAATACCACTACATTTGTTTCTGGACAGACTTGCGGTGAATTCGGGGATTACGCAGTTTGTGACGAGGCCATTCTCTATGGTATCGAAAGAACATCTGGATTTCTTTACTCTTTCACCTCAAGTTTCCTCACTACCAGAACAAACCGAAGAAGCTAGCGAAAAGGAAAGCTGGCCTGATGTGATTATTGGGGAAATGCCACCTCCCTCAGGAGCAAATGCTGCACCTGCTTCTGACTATGGTAATGCTTTCAGAGCGCTTCTACGGGCAGGAAACTACCAAGTCGTAGCCGTGAATTCTGCTTATAGTGGCATAGTCGCAAGAAAATTGAGGCTCGAGTTGAAACCTCTTTTGTATACTTGGGTGAAGGGAGTGTAGGGGTGGTGCTGGAGGCAGCGAGTCGGTTGCAGGTAGACTTTGGCTTTGACTTTCCAAGCAGGATATGATGAGTTTTACTCCCGCAATATTTGTACCATCATGTTAAGAAAACTAATGAGCCATCTATCATCGCAACAAAATGCAAGCGCCAACGCAAACAGGCAGGGTCAGATGAGTACCGTGTTTGCAATTATATGCAGCAGGACTCGATGTGAGTTATTTTTGAGGGACAAGGTGAAATCGAGAGGACGCCCCACAAACAAGTTGCCTTGTCGAATGTAAAATCAAAAAGTTGTAGTTATGAAGAATGGTGGTTGCATTGTAGAAACTTTGAATGTCATTTTACGAAAAGAAAAACTCAATTACAAAGGACAAAGATTTTGACAAACATAGGAGCCAAAAACCGTGGCGAGCGGTAGTCATAGTCTAGAGAATTATTTAGGGTGGTGTTTCTTTGTCATAAGCATTACAATTTTGTCATGATTCACATGAGTCGTCTTTCGTCGTGATTTTGTGATCATTAGACTGTCCGAACCTACCCAACGTAAAGTACCATCAAGCATCGCGAAACGAGTACCCAAGAAGAGTACCCGTGAACCGCTATGTCAACACGTCGTTCGAAATCGAAACATCGCGAAATGTAGGACTTAATCTACGTTCGCGGCAAGCAGATGCCTCAATACGCATACAGACGGGAACGGAGCAGTACATTTTGAACGGCAGCACCTGCGATTTTGAACCGCATACAAGGGAATACGAAAACCAAACGATTGGACCTCCGCAAGAGGTCGAACGACTGTTGCCTCCTCCAGAGGCAAGAACGGACTCGGAAACATTTGAGTTACATGCTAAAGTAGCTAGAACAAGCACAACTTTTTTTCTAAACCATTTGAGTTCCATGCTAAAAAAGTAGCTGGAGGAAGCACATCAACATTTAAAACTACACCACGAGCGTAGCAGGGTCTGGAACACCAAGAAGATTAGACACGAGCTTGTCTGTCACAACGAGACTTCGGCATACGAGACTTCGGCAGCACATCTTGTTCTTTTAAGGCTGTACCTAAAACATCTTTGGACTCATCCTTGAAACGTATGGAGGAGTATCCTAAGCGAATACTCTCCCATACTTTTCAAGGATGCACTTGGAAGACGAATTACGGACAGCTCTAATTCTTCTCAATACGAATACTCACATCTTCTCCGACACGAGCACAACCTTTTCTTCATCGACAAATCTTCGAAAAAAAATGGCGCCAACACAAGAACGAGCAACGAAGCTGACAGTATTGTCAAATGTCCAGTCAGCGCCCAAGATATCCATCAAGGGAAGATGGAAAGATCCGAAAGTACGAAATAACGCACCAGGACCTGGATCGTATTAGATTATTATACTCTTCAAGAACTTTGAATTTGATAGTTGTTGAATGGTTCTGGTTTTTGGTAACCTGAAAGTGATCACAATGATTCTCCTCTTGTTTTCCCTTATGATCAAAAATAGACTACCAAATACCAGAACAGTTGTACAGTTGTAGCGAAAATTCTATTGTGACGTTATAATATTGACATTGAGAACAAAAACTGAAATACTAGTCCGCAATCACCAAGTCCAAGGGGAGCAACAGGCCTCACCCTCTACTACAGATACACACCGCAACCCGAAAATTAAGGCTTCCCCTAATCCATCCCTGTAGACATCCCCATTTCGTCCGCACATTGTTACTCCGATACAAGGGACCCATACTGACGCACATACTCCGATACATCTTACATATGCGCCCCAATACAAGGGACCCATACTGACGCACATACTCCGATACATCTTACATATGCTTTCGTCCCCAATACAAGGGACCCATACTGTGTTACTGACGCCCATACTCCAATTGAAGGATTTCCACAGGGATGAATAGGGGAGAGCTCTAAGAAAAAGTGAAAACCGAATCACACGGAGTAACAATGTGCGGACGAAATCTAAGGATGCCACGCGAATTAGCACCTGGTCCTGGCCAATACTATCAGGGAGGGGACAGCCGTATCTACTTCTACACTTTCCTCGTATTGTGTTTGATCATACAGGTTAATTTTTATATCTTGTTCCATTGCCGAAAACGAAAAGTTAGTTCTACCTTCTTTAACTTAGTTTCTGCCTAGTAACGGGAAGAATTCGTCAGGGAAATCTTAGGCAGACTGCCAAATAGATCCGCATCGTCATCAGCTTGGTTTCTGCCGTCATAGTTCTTATGCTTATTCTTATTCTGACTCATGATCAGTCGGAGCTTCTACCGGAAGATATAGCTTCCCGAGAACACAGAGGTTGAAAGGCCGCATGCATCAGCCGAGTCCAGGACCGGGTAGCTATAAAGTCGGACCTTTAAACAAAGGCACGAGCGCAACATTCTCGGAGAAATTTGGTACTTCATTTTATCAGAATGGGTAGTTAGCCTTAGCTTTTAGTCGGTACTCTTCAGTAAGTGTAAATTGTAAAACGGGTATCATCGTGACAACTCACTTGTGAGTGTAAAACTGCTATCATCATGAGGACCATATATAAGAGGTGGGAGACTAAATGATTACTTGAAGTTGACCAAGTTCCTTGTACTACAAAATCATCTCCACTTCTGAATCTCACTAAAACAGAAAGCGGAGCGTTTGGCGGTAGACTTTCGGGTCCAGGGCCAGGGCATTACACCGCAGCAGTAGCAGATCCATTGCAATATGCAGGAGGCCCAAGATTTGGGTTTGGTACGAGTACGAGACAAACTGGAACTGTGAAAAGTGGCATAATTCTGCCGGGACCGGGGCAGTATTTTTTGTCTTTTAAGACGATGAGGATGAGCATAATTAGATTATTCAGTGAGGTAGCGCTTTTCATTACCTGCGTTCTTCATTCTTCTTAAAGCACTTTCAGATCTCGTCTCTTGTACGTCGTGATCTCTTTTCATCCAGTTCTTCTTCTCATCCACAACTTATCAAATCCATCACCTCCCCAACCAGCTACGTGAAGAACGTCTCGTTTACAAGCAGTGCGCCTAAATACAGTATGAAGAGCAGGCCGCAAACAAAATCCGACACCTTCACGCCTGGACCAGGATCCTCGGTTGCGCTTGTTAGTAGTTTTGGTTGAGGACGATAGGGGGTCCGTCAAGTTATTCATCTGGGATTCAAATTTTTATTCAAATTCACGTCGCACTCGAAGGGGGAAGAATGTGTTCTCCAAAAACCACACATAATGAATGATGTCGAGGATTGACGCTGTTGTGATGAGGGCCACAGACAAGTACAGGTGGAGAATGTTTTTGGATGCAAAGACGATGTCCTCGTGCACTAAATGAACCTGAAGAACCGTCGCGGCCCTTGCTTGTCATTAGATCATTTGGACAGAATAATAATGAAGCAAAATGATCGTGAAGTATGCCTTGCCCTTGTTTTCCACAGTCGCATATGGGAAAAATCTAAATCATGCCTCCTGGTGTAAGCATGATGCCGAAGAAATTTGTTCCAAGCTCACTCCAAGAATACATGTCAATTCCTACAATTAAAAAGGTCTGAATAATTTAAGTTCATTGGCAATGTTGGTAGAAGAAAAAAGAACAGAAATAATGACCTCCCCGACTACAACTAATAAAACTAGTACGACCGGCAGCTTCCCTGCTGCTGTGTCTGTAAATATAATGCTCCGTCTGCTCTTTTGTCTGGCGTGCTGCTCTGCATCTATTTCCCGAGTGGTTGCAGTCGAGCTCGCCAAGGGAAAAACCGCAGCACTTCTGGCACGAAGCAGTTCTGGTGGGAAGATAGAAGGAGAAGAGCAAGAACAAGAAGCAGCTGATGTTTCTTTTATTGACCATGAAGATGTTAAGATTGATGCGTCATCTTCCTTCAGTAAAAAATGCGCAAAGCCCTTATCTTCACCGCCGATCGAAGACGTCGTTCTCCGAAGCGTAATCTCAAACTACCTTGGCTGTCGCGTCGATCCCAAAACAACTACATCTCACCGTGATCGAGCCGCATTAGCAACCGTGTGTCGTGAGTGGCATGAAGTGGATGCCTCTCTAGATGGATGCCTCTCTTCAGACGAAGGCTGCTCATGCAACTATGTCGATCGCTCCCAGGCTCAACAGGAGCACTTCTGTGGGAGGAGGTGGGGCTGCGCTTACGAAGGGTTTGACCGTTTTCAGGACATGCTTCTCTTGGAGTCGGCCATTGCAGAGACGGAGAGGACTGCAGACACTAGTAAACAAGGGAGGGAAGAAAGGGATGAAGGACAACAAAGGACCGGAGGTCTTCGATTGGAAGAGTCGCAGATACTGGCGAAACAGAATTCAAGCTCCAGCGAAACTCGAACAACCTGGAACATCTTCGACAATTCTTGTCTCGTCCGTATTTCCGGCAAACAAAAACAAGGTGCTACTAGTAGAAGTCTCACAACCCTAAGCTCGTGGAGTTGCGAACCTAAAGCCTCTCGGTTCGTCCGAAGGCAGTGTAAATACTGCGACTTCTTCGCACCCATTTGGGTCCATTGTGATGAACTGGATGTTGAGCAGGCCTGTAAGAAAGTAAACCCTGCTGACTTCGATTTTCTGCTTTCGAACATAATCCGAGCAGGAAAGGGACGATATCAAGTGATGGTGCTGCCAGGAGGAGGTTGTGCGCGTGGTAGTAGAAGAGGACACTCAAGAACATCTCTTCTCGAACGACCTGATGTTGGACTCCGACTATATATCTGCTACCTCGCTGACGAATCAAAACTAGCTCACGAGCGCAACTTACTCAAAGCCCACGAGCGAGCCTGCAAAGCACGCCATGACGCTGTATCTGGCAAAGGTGTTGACTTTGATGCAAACGATGGAAACGGAAAGAGGATTTTCACGGCTTCGTTTTTTGGCGAGTTGCGTACGAAAACGGCTAGGACCTTGTTGGAGGAAGATAAAGTAGTGTTTCCGCCGGATAAACTGGTACTAGAAGAACAAGTAGAAGAAGACGAAGACGAGAAACAAATAACACCAGAATCCGAGGAACATGCAGCAAAAGAAAAAAGAACTACAACTTCATCTAGTAAAAATATGACAAGTATTAATATCTCGTCTCATAGGAGTGGTCCTTATCCTGCATCTTCTGATGCTGCCGTGGTCCCTGATGCTCCTGAACCTGACGCCGACCCCGACGCGAAGACATACCGATTGTGGTCGCTAGTTCCGTGGTACGATGACGCTGTTATATCTGACCGCCTACTGGCCTTCATCCATGACACGGACGAACAAGAACTTTATTGCTTATGGAAAGAGCTGGACGAATTGGGTGCAACTACTACTGCGAGTTACTCTAATTGTTCGTCCTCGGATGATAATATCGACATGACGTCTGAAGCTTCAACTCCAACTGCCAGTCCAACTACAAGTCCGTCCTCGACTTCGAATTCTACTTCTGAAAGTATCGAACAAACAGTCGCAGATGAAGTAGGACGTCCCCCGCGTGAACTTGGGGCTGACGAGCCAAGAATGCAGAAGCCACGCAGGATGGAGGAAGACGATCATGCGGTCTTTTTCAGCGATACAACCGTCGAAGATCGTGAACGATCAGGACCATCCAATCTTAGATTTAGAGAGTTAAAAGATTGGATAGAGCATGCTCGAGTTTTAAACTTTGCGAATCGACAACGGGGGTTGTCGTCAGCTGGGAAAGCATGGGCCGCGAGCAAAAAAGCAGCATACCTGTCCACCTCTTTCCTGAAGAAGCGCGCCCGTCGTCTACAAAGCAGGCAGCAGGACGATGAGGGAAGATATTATACTCTTCATTATCATTAAGGCACGAGATGCAGTGGAAATGATAATTTTCATTGCTTCAGGTGGTTCTTCAGCTTGATTTCTGACTTGTTCTACCGCTAATTCATTCGTAGCTGCTGGCATCACTTCTGGTCTTAAGACCAGTAAGACTTCCCACTCCACTCTTTGAGAAGCAACTTGAACTTCATAACGGATATGTGTAAGTACAGAAGAAAAATGTTTAATTTTATAGTACTACGTTGCTCGTCTAAGTTCCAATCGGCTCTGGTATCGACATCGTGTGTGGCGAGGATAAAGACCTATCGTTTGACGTATTAGCGCTGATGAACGCTCGCAGGCTTTCTTCTCCTAGTGAGGACCGTGATAAGTGCTACTTCTGTAAGGGTACTAGAGGACGGCCTTCTGGGAACGACAACGATGACAGATGTTGTAAGATTGAGGAAGATGCTGGTGCTGCATCGGCTTCTGCTTCATCAGGGTCAGCAAGCGAGGCACATCCTCAAGAGGGACAACTGCGAGTACCATTACCTCTCTTCGAAGAACCTGAGCAACGACCTAATTTACAACAGCCTCCGAATCCGGCTCCGGATGCAGCGACAGTTCCCAACCTTCGCAATAACTCACTGCCTAACTGCTTTGCCTGGCAAGAAGTGGAAGTGGAACATCTCAAAGCGCGATACGCGATCACTTTGGTGGATCTGAAGCCTATAGTTGCTGACGCTCGGAAACTGACGAAACATGCATTATTTCCGCAAACTAGTTATCATGTTGGAAGAAGTGGCTCAGGCTCTGCTTCTTCTGATCATCCTGGAAAAAGTGCCTTTACTGCAACTACAGCTTGTGGTATAACGGCGTCTCCATCGTCTCCATCTTCTTCAGCTACGATAGCAAGTCCTGCAACAACAACCACGGCTACTGCTTCCTTGATGAACGATACAGAAATAGACGATTTATGTCGCGTCTTCGAGAATCTCGAAGTGGGTGACTGCGTTGCGTTGCCTGACACTACTGACACAGAAACTCTATTGGCAATCGGTCGCTTTGTTGAGCGGCAAAAGCGGAAGTGGAACCCATGCAAAAATTGTGCGAAGAAGATGCATGCTACCTGGTGCCCGGCGATGCCAGTACCTGGGAAGCGGATCGCTGTTGGAGGGAACAAAAAGACTCCACAACGTGGAGACCAAGTAGAGTTGTTTGGTCAAGATGGGAAGCTATCTACTAAGCCAGCTTCTTCTAGTTGTTCTACTTCTGGCAGTACTTCTTCTGAAAAGCAAAAAGAGAACAACAAATACCTCTACCATCCGAATCCACAGCAGTGCATTGCAAGGCCGAGGTTTTGCTCTACTTCATCAGTAGATCGCGAGAGCATGACCCGCTCATATGCCTTTGAAATTCCGGATAGCCAAATGATCCGATGTATGTTACCTGAGTGTGAATTTGAAGCAGACACACGTGAGGCGGTACTGGAACATATGAGGAGTTGTATTTGTCGGCGTTCACCGTCATCCCTTACAACTCGAGCTGCTTCTTCGACGTCATCTAAAGATGCGGAGACCAAATTTTGGGCTCCCTATAGTTTTCTGAGGGAGAAGCGAATGCGTCACGAGCGACGGGCAGAGCTAGAAGACCTGCGTCGATGCTGCTCGCCGGTGAGTAGGGGTTTCGCGACCATTGTCGGCCACAGTGCGCGCGAGCAAACGAGCAAGACGTTTTTTCTAATTTACGGAGCAGAGCAAGAGCAAGACGCCAAGAAGATTCCAACTTTATCGTCCGAAGTAGATACCAATGGTGGAGTCGCAGAAACTACAGCACGAAACCATCGACCAGAGGACTTGTTCACGACACGCCGTGTGCCGCAATCGCGCGACGGAGAGGCTCGATCTGAAGTTCAGCACGGCAAAGACGAAGTTCTTGAAAAAGTTCAAGTTGTTGAACAAAGTAGAAGAGGAGATCAAGATCGTGAAACTTGCGGACAAGAAGAATACGTGTGTCTTTTACCTGGATGTTGCAAAGTATTTGCTTCACGAGAGGAAGTGCTATCACATATGGCACAGGATGAGCATCTTACCAGTCCTGGACGCGCCCTGCCAGGACTAGCGAAAGGTCACCTTGAGGTCTTCTTCAGATTTTAAGAAATACTAGGAGACGATGTTTCTTTCTATCAGATGTAGACAGCGCATCCGTATGCTGAATTCCACCATTCTCATCGTTCTTATTTTTAACGATGATCCATAGTTGTACATTGGTACTTTAGAACTTGCCATTGAATCAGAAACTTACTTAGTCGGAAAATGCAACTGCTACTACAACTACATGTATTTCTTACACATGACCAACATGTAAAAGTGATGAGATTTTTGGTTACCAGATCTTTCTGTTTCTATATCCACCTTGGATGACGTACTACACTATGGCTTACTTTGAATTATGCTTATCATCTCGCCCTAGCCCTGATTTGTTATTTGACTCTTAGGAGCCAGGGAAAGCTGGACCTTCTCAACTTCTCAACTTCTTCAACAAGTTCGTGCAAATCAATGCGTTACACTCTTTGGATTAGAATGTTATTTGACTTTAGATAAAGCTAAAAAAGAATATGATGAACGTGTTCCGGGTAATTTCGTTTCTTGTTTTGATGTCTGTTGCTTCAGGTTTTTTGTCCGCGATACTAGCACAATAACGATTCGTCTTAAGCAATTCGTTGAAAAACTGACTTTCAAAAACATCACTTAGAAAATACGTTAGAGCAGTCAAATAGAGGTATCTTCTGAAGATGCAAACAAGGATTCATAGTCGTGAATGCTCACCTCCTCGAGGCGAGCAAATTCCCATCCCAAACAAGGATGCCATGATCACGATGGATTACTTGTAGTCCTAATTGGGAGTTGCCGCGCGTATATCGTCATATTCGGCCCCACAAGGAATGTTCAAGTAAGAGTAACTGCTGTGTGCTTGTGGTTGTGGTCAGAATGTTGCAGCTCGGTTATTCATGGAATCTTCTTCGGTTACGCCTAAGCCTATGCTTGCACGGATGAACAGCATGCACTTTGAAGGAAAGATCGGTTGTTGGTTCTTCGGTCACATGAATTCTGTTTCTGATAAAACTCAGCGTTAACAGCGCCCACATTGTGGAGTCAGCGCAGATCTTTTGTGAGCTCCAAATGAATGAATGAATGAATGAACATCGCTGAATATCGACATTGTGATTCTTCGTCTGCCTTTGTGATTCCTCGTCACTACCATTGTAATTGTATCCGCTGTTGATTCAATTTTTTACTTCTGCTTCCGAACTTGATTATGATGAATTCCTGCGGTTTTTGCTTATTTTACAGTAACGATTGTTAAAGAACGAAGGCGCCATACAACGTTGGCGAAAGGATGAGTTCGTGGACTCACTATCACTTCAGAAGGTGTGTCTACTTATGTTGTGCTTGCTCCTCTGATTCCCGGCCCTATCCCAATATGAATCTCATGCCCCCACACTATTCTGGAAACAATAGGAGCAAGAAGAAGTGATTGATGCACATGCTCATTTTGCAATGACATGCTGTCGTCCTGTTGGCCGTCGTATATTTATCCGAAAAGTGATTCCAAATAGACAAAGATTGTTGTATTGTTTCTGCAAGTGATGAATATGTTAAACGTGGTAGTTCAACCTTAGCCTTGCCTTTCATATTTAATCGATCCGATATATAATTCAACTGGAGTGACTTTCACTTTGCAAAAATCATGGCCTCGTCGTCATCGTCGGTCTTCAATCGAGGACAGCCCGGCCCCGGCGAAGAAGCAGGTGGAGGCGGGCCAGCAAGGCCCCGCGCTCCCCTCCGGAGTGCTCATCTTTTCGATGATGTTGCTCCAGTACATGCACAAAATCGAGAACGAGAGCGACAAGGCGGCTCTGCTTCTAATAGTCCGAATAAGCGGCGTAGACTAAACAGCGAATCGCGCGGCCCAGTCGGGGCTGCAATACGTCAGCAACAAAATCCTCAAGCATCTAGCTCCAGCTCGTCAAACGCAGCTGGCGGCGGTCAGCCTGCACATGTTAGCATCGACAGGCACAACAATAATAACGTTCTTGTCGCACGCAATGCCAATGACTCAGATGACGACGACCAGGATCATGACAGACGATTCTTCGATGAAGTTGAGGGCGACATCAACTTTGATGACGAGGAAGACGAAGACATCTATTCCTCATTGGAAGCAGAATTAGAACAACGACAGCAGCAACCAGCTAATAACGTGGGAAATGATGCTGATGACCCCATCGAAGCCACAGTAGACCTTGATGAGGGGAATGACTTCGACCTTCGAGTGCTTGGTGACGTGGAGAATTTTGAGGAGAAACACGGCGAAATGCATTTTTACGGAGAAGAGACTGCTCACGATGCAATTGATAGATTGTTGGGCCCTGTGCCTGGCTTCCGGAGGGTATAATTCGTAGGATTGTCTTTGTGTCACTTGTTCTTTATTTTTCGTTTATCAATCTTCGATGTCAATGAGAAAGAGAGTGAAGTTTGTCAGCCTTGGAATCAATTGATGAATAGCCTCTTGACTTTTCAATCACAGTACGCAAATGCGTCTAGTTCCTAAGTACTCAACACCACTATCGACACCTTTGTAACTACTCAACACCTTTTTCCTAAGTACTCAACACCACTCTCGTTTGTAACAAACTACTCAAGAATACCTCAACGTCTCATCAAACAATTTCATCTCAACACGACAGGGGAACCAATTTGCAGACGGAGAGGAAGATGACGATCCGGAGGCGTGGTTTCGACGAAAGCTCTCCTTGCCAGATGGTTTGCCTATACGGTTGTCAAAGTCAATTTTCGACCAGTTGCATCCACACCAAGTTCGAGCCCTGCTGTGGATGCATGCTCTGCGCTTGCAGAGAGAAGGGGGGATCTTGGCCGACGATATGGGGATGGGAAAAACGGTTTCAGTGTGTGCGTTTTTGCTATGGACGACCTTGGCTTTCATTCAATACTTGAGCAGCAATAGTATAACTTGGCCTCTTCCTTTTTATAAGGTTGGGGCTTAGGTCGAGGTCCAGCGACGATTAAAGTACTAAAGAAAGGCAACCGGCTAGCTTTCCCCGTATCCTTCGGCTCATCCCTTCAAGCAATAGCATAGCTTCTGCATCATCATCGTCCCTACTTTTGCAATAGCGAACTTCTTTCTTCGCGAACACTCTAATCTTCCACTCGCTCCGCAGAAGCGCTCCGATTCTCACGCAGTGCCGCCACGTCCTCATCCTCTGCCCACGTGCTCTTCTCGGTGTCTGGGAAAAGGAGTGCGGTAAATGGTGTCCAGAGTTTCGGTGTATATCTGTCGCAGAAAACTCTACTTCCTACGGTTCTAAGAACGTAAAAAAGCGAGCAGCTGAGATTTCGCGGAACGAGGCTGGGGGCATCTTGTTGGCAAACTACGAAAAACTGAATGGGACAGAACTCTTCAAACTGCTGAAGCATGTGGAGTTCTACAACAACGAGAGGTTTGCGGATAATTTCGTTGAAGGAGGCTACTTGAACGAATTGGATCTAAAATCGCGTGGCAACCGATACGACCTGTCAAAGCGGGGAGCTCGTGATAGCAAAAACGCACGAATTAGAGGACATTTTGATGCTGGGTCTCAACAACAAAATGCACTACTAGCTTTACCTCCAGGCAGCAGCTTAAACAACTCATCAACATCTTCATCTGCGTCTTCTTCTAGTGCAGCTGGAGGAAGAGCAGGAGCAGGACAATCTTCTGGACAGCAACAAGGGGCAACCAATAAACCTGTCCACGGGATGCGCCGGAAGCACTGGGACCTGGTAATCTTGGACGAAGGGCACAAGCTAAAAAACTACAGTACGGGTGGACATCAACAGTTATGAAGAACGAGAATAATCATTTATGAACGAGAATAATCTATCATCACGAAAAGGAAAACGATACGTGTTCATCCATCACGAAAAGGAAAACGATACGTGTTCATCAATCAAACCTTTCTTCTTGACATTTAAATACTTATCAGGTTATGTTGGAGGGTCAACACTTGATCTCATAGATTCTCAGTATCATTGATTTTCAATTTGAATTTCCGATAGACTTCATTTCCCAATCCTACTCTAACCCCCGTCAAGCAAATCTGGAGTCGACAGTCTATCTTACTCTCTGGGACGCCACTGCAGAACCACTTGATGGAGCTGCATTCGCTTTTTAGCCTTGTGGTTTCCAAAAACGTACTTGGAACGCAGAAAGGGTTCAAGCGCCGCTTCCAGGATCCGATCAAAGATGGCAACCACCTCTGTGCGACAGATCGCGAGGTTGCGGTAAAAACCAAGATGGGACAGAAACTGAAGCGACATATCCTGCCCTACTTTTTGCGACGGAAGAAGGTACTCCAATATTTCATAGCATGTACACCTATTGACTTCAGTGATTTCATGAGCTTTTTTTTGGTGAATTTTTAGGCATTGTTTTCAATCTTTTACTTTCTCTTCATCGGCGTCGGCGATTTTTAAGCGATTCTTTCAAATTCGTACTCACAGGATTCGATCTTGCAGCTAAACGCTGACCAGCCACAAAATCAACTTGGCGCTCTCGAGGACACTAACAGAGGTTCATCTAATCAACGCGGCGCTTCTGCTGACCAACAAGAAACTGCACTGGTTCTTGCTAACGAAGCACAACAAGGCGCTGCCGCACAAGTAGCTGGAGCACAAGTTAGAGCTGCATCATCTTCAAGCGCCTCCTCTCCGTTCTTGACAGCGAAGAAGCACGTTGTTTGCATGTTCATCAAGATGAAAGAGGAGACTCCACAGTATCGAACGTACAAGAAGTTCATAGACAGTCGCGCTGTCAATGACTGTCTCAAAATCGCCGACGACAACAAGTTCCGGAACCGTGCTTTTCAATTGATTGGTGAGCTTCGAAAAATCTGTAATCACCCTGTGTTGAACCTCCCTCAAGAGGAGCAAATGTGGACGCGGGGAGATGCGCCTTTAGATTTTGAGGAGGATGAAGACGGGAGTGTGCCACTGGATCAGAGCCAGGAAGGGCTGATGGAAGCGGGAGCGAAGGTGAATTATGTGCCAAGTTTCAGCTTCAGTTTCGCTGAATGTGAGTGAGCGACTCACTGACGTACTTCCACTTACTCAGTCACTCTTACTTCCTATATGTTGGGTGGATTTGCTGGAGCATATTTCTTGATGCTCCATCCTCGTTGTGGAGGAGCCTCCGACAGCGCAACTGAATGAAGAGATTTATAGACACTTCTTCTAATCCTCGCTCATCCGTACCTTGTGCAACCGCTGGAGACGCGAAGGTCGACGATTTCTCATCTTTTCGGAAAGCAAGAAATTTCTTGATTTATTGGACTATTGCGTGTTCGGGCCAGGTCATTTTCGAACGAAGCGCGTAGATGGCGACAAGACACTGCAGGAACGAACTGAAACCCTCAAACAGTTCGACGAGGCGAAAGCAAAGGCACGGGCGGGAGCGCGGAACACACTACAGGGGCTGTTGCTGACGACGAAGGTAATTTGGTCAGACGTTCTTGTTGAGGAGACTGTCTAGCGTAATTAGGCTAGCGCGTGGCTGGTGCAGGAAGATGAAGAACCATTTTGCAGAAATTAAAATCATTGATTCAATAAGATTTAGACTTTTATTATTATTTTATTGTTCGTTTGATGTGAGTTACAACAAGGACGTCCAGGCGCTTGAGTGCACTTCGTATCTGGTCTTTCAGTTCGATTTTGAATTTGACCAAAACCCATAGTCCTAGACACCAAGGTTGGCGGGGTCGGCCTGACGTTGACAGCAGCAACGCGAGTCATCCTGGTGGATCCAGGTTGGAATCCCAGCATCGAGCAACAAGCGGAGGATAGATGCTATCGAATTGGCCAAGACGAGGACGTCATCTGCTACCGTCTTTATGTTGGGCAACTAACTTTACTACTCATTCTGAAAATGCGTAACTACAACGCAAGGCAACTAATCCCAAGAATTATGTAGCTCTTCTTCTTTTTGCGTGTCCATGTCCTCTCCTACTCCTACTTCTTTCCTTCCTTCCCCGCTCTTCATACCTCCTATCTCCGAAATACCATCGAGGAGCACATGTTCTGTCTGCAAACATTCAAAACTGGTCTGCAGCGCATTGCGTTTGAACAAGAGCAGCAAGAGCGACACATTGCGAAGGACGACTTGCGCAAGTGCTTTAACATGGAGCCACGAGATCGGCCTGCGCATACCTTATGAGAAAATCTTTAATGAAAGTGTAGGTGGCTCCAGGCTTCTTCATCTTTACTTGCTTCTAGTAGTTGTGCACTAATGGAGAGCTACTTTTGCATTAGTTATGTTCTTGGAGTCGTTGTCCTCATCCTCTAGACCGAAGTTTATTTCTCCTCACAGCCTTCCTCTTCTCGCGTTCGGACTTCTCCTTCTCCCATTTCATTCTGTTTGATGGGCTTGTCAGCGTACAGTGAGATCCGGAGCGGACGCAGACTCAAATGCCGAGATCCATCGAGTCTTTTTCAGTCGACAGCGTTCGAAGCGCTCCATCCGGATCAGGTATCGGAAGCTTCAGAAGGCTCCGCGGATGAAGGGGAGGCGCAGTAAGCAGGATGCCTGTTTATCCGAAGAAGACTGTAGCAAATGAATATGAGGCCACCACCAGGCGTTATAAATGAAGCATAACATAACTGGCTGTAGTAAATAAAGATAATGGATTTTATCGTAATTTTTGTTGAATGCCACTGCCATTCCCATTAAGTAAAGATGAGCGCTCAGAAAAAAGATTACACTCGTTGACAAAGATCACGATAAACGTCACATCATCAAAACGATCCCGATAAACATCACATCATTGATAAAACAAATATAGCATCTATCATTACCGTAGGATCACTGTGAGTCACCTGTTGTTTTTCTAGAGCTTGATCCTGTAGAATGAGGACGGAGCATTCTCGTTTCCATTAAAAGAATACGTAAATCGAGAGCTTTCCCAACTACCTATTCATCTGAACATCTGAAGATCATGCTTATTGTTCTTTATACGTCTTAGCAGAACTACTTGAACTTTCTCTTCCCCTGCTACGTAAACGACTGCAATAAGTAAACTACAGAATCTAGTACTGTCACCGTCTCGTAAAAGCGACGACATGATTGAAATCTTTTCAAAACCGAGAATATGAGTTTGAATTCGGATCGGAAGAACATTAAATTGGTGAGTCCAGCATTTCATGTACGACATGACTTTCTTTCTCACCTCGTCTTCTACTCATGCACATGATCTTGAATGATCTTTTTGTGTAAGTACTTTCGGTCAAAGATCTCAACAGTGGAATCTAATCCCATCATAGACAAAAGATCCGAAAAGATTGCCTGAAACTATTAGTCAGGATCATCGTCTCTATGATAATATGTGGTTGGACCAGCAGGATGTACACTTAAGTACTAGAAACAAGAATTTTTCTGTTGTTGAAACGGGACAAAAAACTCAGATTGATGTTACCACTTCTACCAGGATTAAGAGGTGACATCTTTACGTGAACGTACTTTTAGAGTATCGACGACGACGACGACGTCCTTAGAATATCAACATCCTTTTCATCTTTCTCAATCGCAAGTACGTTCATTTATAGAACACAAAAAAAACAAAATGGTTCAAGTGAAGGATGTTTTCTTTGCTGGACGCAGCGACAAGAAAAAGCCTATGCGTGGTGCTGTTGGTACTGCATCGTCGAAAGAGCAAGAGCACGATGTTGATTCGAATAAGGAACAGAACGTCGATAAGGAACACGTCGAAGGTTTGGAACCGACGGACGAGAAGCAGGTTGAAGAGGAAGTAGAAGTACTACAAGAACAAGGTCCAGGAGCTGGTCTGCTAAAGATGGCGCGACAAATGGAAAACGAAGATGGCTCTTCGTCTGAAGAAGAAGAAGAGGATGATGAACACGATGGTTCAGACGATGAAGGAGACCTAGATGATGAGCTCGACGATGATGACGACGAGGAAGTAGAAGATATGGAATCTATTTTGGCTAAAATGACGGATGCTGAGAAGCTCGCAGAAGGAAAAGCAAGAATGGCCGCAAAGGAATTCGAAGAAGCTTTGGTCTATTTTGAGGACACAGAGGAGCCTAGGAGTGGTGCATGCCTAATCCAAATTTGTGGATGCTACTATCAAATCATGCAACAAGTGGAGAAATTCGAACAGCTATTGGCTAACGCAGGTGGCGACGAGGATTTTGATGATGAAAGTGTTCCAAGCTTTGACGAAGATGACTACCGGGACCTTTTGAACTACGCCAACCAAGTTATTGCCATGCCGCTTAGAGCTGCTAAAGAGCAGCAAGGGGGGGCCACGACAGCTACTTCTAGTTCAACAGTCGCCACCACTACTTCAACTACATCCACCAACAAGCTGAAAACCGCAACCGCTGGCCAACGTGCTCGCGGCTTCTTCTATCGCGGTGTTGCGCATGCGGGACTAGGCGAAAAAGAACAGGCGGTAGAGGACTTCACTGTCGCTGCCAAGGATGAAGGGATCAAATTGTTGGTCCAGATCGAGCTGAAGAATGTCCAGAAACAGATCTTGAAGGTGCAGAAAGCGGCCAAGAAACAATACTTCAAAAACGAAGCTGAAAGAAGGAAATTGGAGCGCAGAAAATTGAGTGGAAAGAAGGCTTTCAATCCACATGCGATGAAACATTAACTTCGTTGTCTCAGCATTTGCACACAACCTCCAGGCATCATGAGGACGGACAACCAAAAATAATCAAGGTTTCATACTTCCCCCACAACGTCAGTGCAAACGTATTTCCCTGATGAACTTTTCTTATGTTGTGAAATATCTTTCGCAGCGAGGGTATATTTTTCTCTCCTCTACTGTTGCTTGGCGAAGAGTGCTTTCGTGTTTTCAAGGGACGCAGTTTTATCACCGGATAACCCTGTTGCAGGTCTTCTGATGGAAGGAAACGACAGGTTATTTACTATCTTTTCGAGAGAAACAAGATGGAGACATGATGAGAGAGTCACCTGTATCAGAAAGTCCAGAGGAAGTGAATTTATTTGAAAAATTATATTAAAAACAGTGCTTCGAATCATAATTTTCGCCACGTTGTCGAGGACGAACCTAGATGGAAGTCCGCGTTTTAGAGGACAACGCTGAACCTAATGTGTAAAAGGTAGTACAGCTCCTGGTGCGTTGAGACGTAATTAGCAAAATAGTCCATCTTGTCATGTCCTCTCTGCGACCTTCATGCAAGAGAATTGGACGTCACATCTTCAAGCAATCAGCATCAGGAACAACAAAAATCATGGCAACTGGTTGGAAGACGAGAAGCACGATTGGCGCTGAGACGCCGATGGTAACGGCTGGCGTCCGATCCTTCGCATCTTTCCGGACAGCTTATCCAGCTATGCGGTTGGACTTTGCTGACAAGGACAAGAAAGGTTTGGGAGTAGAAGAAGGCATGACCACTATTCACAATGGTTTTGATGCAGCAACCGATCATAGTTGTTCGCCAGAGAGCAAGAACAACAAGAACTCACTTACCACGGACAACCTCTTTCCTCGAAGTCCTAGTGGGTTGACGCTAGCGCAGTTGCTGGGCGTGAGTGAGAGGCAGCGGAGGAGAGGGCAAATGTTAAGGCACAGGTAGAGCTAGTATAATTTGGTAATCCATCTACAACATCGCCAATTATCATGACAGTAGAAAGAATCAATTATGAGGATCAATTATGAGGACGATGGAAGAATCCACTGTTCTTGATAGCATCATCTTGACTAAGGTGTACGTAGAAGATCCTTTCTAATGTAATGGTCTTAAAGACTTTAAGGTTGAGTGGCGAGCAGACAACTGCGCAGCCGACAGGTGGAACAGGAGATAGCACCAGTGAGGTGCTTTCCGCCTTCGAACAGACTGTGACACGGTTACATCCTGAGCAGCAGATACCTCCAGCCGCTGACGCTTCAAGGGATTCCGAGTCCCCTAAAGCTGGTGGAGGGACGAAGAAAAAAAGACGCGCAGGTGTTGCTTGTCTTCTACGTCGTAATCCTTCTCCGCATAGTACCAAGACAGCTGCATCTCCGTTCGAAGCATTCCTCATTCTGCGACAAAGACGTCAAGGAGACCCTTGGTCCGGTCAAGTAGCGTTTCCTGGAGGAAAATGCGAGTCTGACGAATCACTACTCGAAGGCTGTCTTCGTGAAGTGCGGGAGGAAATAGGAGTTGATCTTTCAACATCTACTCGTGTTGATGGTAGGGGTACAACTGAGGATACTTCATCATCGCTTGCTCACTTTGTATGCGCCTTAGACGCGGTGAATATCGGGAACGTTTTAGACGTGCATTGCCTAGTTTTTGAAGTCTTAGACTCCGATTCATTCGAGAAACAACTAGTTCTCGAACCTGGCGAGGTCGCAGCCGCTGGTTGGTTTGACCTCTGCTCTCCCGAGAGAGCCTTTCCCGCAGAGCTGCGCACAGATTTAGCGGAACATCCTACATTTTTTCAAGACGCAAAAAAACATGTGGGTCGAACTACATCTTCAAAGACCACGAATTGCACTACTAGTCGTGTTGGGAATCGTGTTGAGAACAAAGCTAGTCGTACTACTGGTTCATCTAGTTGTACTAGCAGCACAACAGCAACTGGCCCTCCCCTTAAGATATCCAACCTCTTGTCTCCAAGCGTGCAAAGAAAGATAGCCTACGCGATGCGGATGCAGGAAGCCGTGTTCTCAGCCTTAGCTTTGTTACCATCGGATGTCTACGTCAGAAAGAAAGAGGACGGCGCCGATGCTACCGGGATGAGCGCATCTAATACTACGCTGTCTGCTCGCTTTCCAGATTCGACTCTCCTTCCTCGCATCAAGGGACCGCGAGACGCGATAGTCATCTCAAGTTGGAGTCCGGTGTTGATCAAACAAACCCTTGGCATGGCTCTTCGAGAGACGTTGAAGAGAAGTACTTGTAGTAGTACAACTGGTGCAACTCATTTATCGGAGTCGGAGCCAATTGCAACTTCTACCAGTGCAACTACATCAGCAGCAACAAGTACAAGAGCAAACATCGTCAACTCTACTTCATCGTACGAAGATATCGCCTGTAAACGGCATCCTTTTCTACTCTGGGGTTTGACGAAGCAGCTGATTGACATGGTCTTGATTCGGGTCGTGCAGAGCCAGGACGATGACAAACGACAGAGGTTTCAGCAATTGAGGAAAGTGCATACCACTTTTTTCTTATGGACGAAGGAACAAGCAAATATTCATGTGGTTCTCCATGTATACCCCATGAGTGGGTACATCTATCTATCTATCTAAACTGGTGTCTTTTCGACAAGAATCCCTTAGTTGTAAGTACTCATGTAGGGTAGAAGTACCTTCTGCTCTTCCTCATCTAATCCTCGGCTACCGTTTCGAACGGCGCTTCGGCAGTCGCGTTCACGATGTCCTTTTTGGCCTAGCTGTCAGACTTGTCTTCGCGAGGAAAGATGGGAAACACGAGGACCGACATTGGCTCGACCACTGGAGAAGATACTTCGAATTGAACTTCACCTTGCTACTTGCGTTGATCTCTATGGCGGGTGGCTACCAACTGACAGCTGGGGTATTGGCGACTCTGTTGGCAGGCGAGGGAGTTGGGACGACGCAGGATACACTACCACTACCACCTGCTACTAGTTGTAGAGGTGGACGGATAGTAGGAATCGATTCTGAAGAGACCAAGAATAGTCGGCGTCGAACAATAAGTGAGGAAGATAAAAAAGACGATGCAAATGTGGACATTGCGTCAGATGGTCAGGTCAAGACTTTGAGTCGGTTGTAAACCATCATGTTGCCGCACACGACGGCTCGAAGACCTGCAGCTTTGCAGCAGTGAAGGGGTCCTTTTACGCTTGAAAAAAAACGCTTCGGGTATCTTCTGAAAAGGAACAAGGACGAAAAACTGATTCTAATTTTTTAGCAAAAACCCAATATTATTTTTTTTGAAGCTTCGTCATGATGCCCGATTCACCATGCACGACGGCACGACCAATGACACTGTGGTCGATGCTCCAAGTGTTATTCAACTATATCAACACGCATATTACTGGCAGGCGTAGACCTTCAAGACATCAATAATCTGTTGCAGCTTGCAAAAGGAAAAGGTCCATGTCACTAACACAGATGATACATTGTCATTATCACGATCAGCACTAAAGCAAAAAGACGTGGATATTTTGAGGTATTTTGTCGGAACGGTTAAATCCATCGGTCAAATTCTTTTCATAATCAGATTCCTTCATTCTGCATGCAAGTAGCTACGAATCTGAACGTATTTTTCACTAATTAAGTGGCTCCAATCTAATATCGTACGCTAACGATTGAAAAATTTAGGAATTTTTTTTAGACCTGTTTCCAACAAAAACAGTTAAGTACAGTAAAAGACGATCAAAAAGATGGGTAAGAACAACAGGAAGAACAAGACGACTGCAGGTTCTTCTGCCGTGCCACCACCCCAACCTGCTCCGCAGCGACCCAATGATGACGACATCGACCCAGAACTCCTCGAATTGATGCGAACTCTCAAACTATCGCAAGAAGAAGCTGAACTGTATCGAGAAGAAAAGGCGAAGCAAAAACGCAGAGAGGAGAGGGCCGCGGAAGCACCAAAAAAGCAGGCTCGAAAGGAGAAGAAGATACGCGCGAAAAGAGCAGAGGCCTGGGAGAAGGCAAAAGTGCTTGACAATAGTCTGTACGGAGCAAGCAAACATTGGGGATCGAAAAAAAGCGGATCTGGAACTAAACAGAGTTATGCACTTTTGTTTAGTCAAAAACAATAACAATATGAATATGACAATGTGCTTTATAATTTTTTTCGTAGGTATATTTGGGTTTGAGGTAGAAGACTCACCGCATTTTAGAAGTTTATACTCTCTTACACTGCAGATATGAAGATACACTGCGATTTTTTAATTTCTGCACCCTGTCCCCTAGCTCTCCCGCTTGCTTTTCTAATTCTCTACCCACGCATCGGTGCCATCGTCCTACACAGAGGCTTCCAGTTGTACCTTCACACAAGAAGACGTCGAGGAGTTGGACTATGGGCATCTCCTCGAGTGTGTGCCAGTAGGAACCGACGAAACGGAACTGGCACGCACTGCAGTAGGAGGCAGAAAATGCAGACCAGACGCCGTCCGTTTTGGGTTGCAAGTGTGGCAGGAAATGCAGCAGATCGTGTCCTACACTCATGGCGGAAGAAGCGACGAGCCCCAAGGATGTGCGAACAAGTTGTTCACTTACGGGTGGTGGTTGATATTCAAACTCAATGCTAGTTACTGGCCTTTGCGATAGCTAAAGTAGAAGCGCAAGTGGTTCAGGTTCTTGCATTTACGTTTGATCGCTGTACCTCTCGGCGCCTTCACTGAAAGGCGACCTCTCCCTTTTTGTCTTGATCTCGGCCTTTAAACAACTACCGGCTTGTAGCTCATACATATCTGGCTTGTAGCTCATACTTATCCGGCTTGTACTTGTAGCTCATACATAAGTATATAGAATAGTCGGGGCATCAGCGACTTCTTTCCCCTGTGCGGCCTTTTGCTAGCTGTCTCTTCCCTTTTTCATTGTTCTTGGGAAGACGTCACGAGCCGAGTCAGCTTCAAGTGTCTCTTGTGTAAGAACGCGAAAGGAAAAGCGACAGACTTCGCGTGGGAGCATCTCTATGGGGAGGACTCTTTGGCCGCCAAACACTGGGAAAGATGGGAGGCCAGAGAGCGGAAGATCAAGACCACGAGGCAGCTCTTAGAGCTGTTGATTTTTGCTGGTGATGGAGCAGGTGGAGCGGAGAGGAATGGAGGCGGTAATGGAGGGCAGCCGAGTTATGTCCATTTTCTTTAAATTTTCTGAAGTTGATAGATGCGCGCGCTACCTTCTTCAACTTGGTCATCGCCGTCACTTAGTAGTGGTTGCTTTCTGCTTATTTTTCCCGGAATATTTCGCACGCTTTTTTAAGAGGAGTGCTCGCAAAGGCTTAAACTTCTATTTCTAAGCTGAGGCCGACGCCGAGGCCCTTCAAAATCGCGGTGGAAACTCATCAGACGCATTTAAACCAGTCAACCCCGCCAACCCCGTTGCTGACTGCGAGTATTTGGCTCTTGCACTGGTCGAAGACTGGGAGCACAAAGTGAACTGCGTGGTCTTGCGTTGTCTCCTTTGCGGAGAGCATCAGGACAAGGTAGCACTTATTTTCTCCAAGAAAGTTATCCTTGTTCCACTGCTGTGACGTTTGCAGATAGAGTAGCGCATGCCGTAAATGTAAAGGCTAAATACGGACTCAGCCATGATAATTCTTGGTCTTCTGCTGCCAGTTTGTGAAGCAGGTTTCGTCCTCTACACTCCTTCACAACCACCAAACCCCACAGCCCCTCGAGACCGATGCCGACGTGATGGCTTTATGTGGCCATGGAAGCCGTCCAAAGTGGTACTGCGAGGGCAACAAAGCGCACGAGAAAAAGGCGTGGGCTTTTCACGGTGGCGCGAACTGCAAGGATTATGCTCCGGCCCGAGACAGTGTTCGCGAGGCGAAGCAGAAGCTGATCGACGCAAATCCAGACTTTTATGGCCAATGCGCAGCAGATGACGACAGAGAGGATACCCTTAGCGAGGGGGGCGAGTCAGAGTCTGACTCTGGAGAGACTGAGCGCGACGATGCAGATGGCCTGTTCACTGTAGTGGACGAGAGGAGCAGCAGTAGCAGTAGTCAAGCACCTGCTGCTAGACAAAGAACCAGCAATACTCGAGTAAACTTGCAATCCAGTAGCGCGTGGCCCAATGCTTAAGGATGGGCGTATGTAAGTAAGGATTTGCATTTTCTCACTACGTTATATATAGTCTTAATCTATTGTGAAGGCAGTTCGCCGTCGCGGTATCTAAACAAAACAGGGATCAAAGCAGCCGCCTCTGGCGTGACATCGTACTTGTTCAGCATAGTGCCAAACTTTCTAGCCCTAACACTTCGCCGGTGCGAGAAGCGGCAGGATTCAAGGAAGTTCCAACACGACAGATTCGTCCGAGGGCTCCCACGTGTCCGATCCAGGCCTCTACAATTCCTAGGAGATGAGGCGCAGGTAGACTCTTGGCACTTGGTTGCTAGTCTTTCCAACCGCATAACTTTGACGAATTTTTTAAGCATAGCGTAAGCACTGCCACTGTCGACCGTTGATGGATTCCAGACCCTTCCGGGATGCATCCTTGATAATTTCAGCGACACAAGAGCTTGCACCTGAACAGCTCGGATCCCGATGTCACCCACCTCTTCCCCGCTTCAAGTTCGATTTTTGATTTTCTATAATGCAATTGCAAATCTGACATTCCACCCACCTTCGGCGTAGGATAGCGTTGTCCATTCTTGACTGTTCTACAAGTACGACGCACGAATATAGGACAGCTCCTTATAGAAAGAAGGGAGAAAAAAATGATCGATGTTGTGATACTAGAGTGCGATTTCAAACACAGAGTAGTTTGAGAGACAGAAGTATCTGTTAGAAGTGCTGCTGCGGTCTTGCCTTGGCCTTTTCCAGACAGGGCATGATTATGCAGAATGGCAGTACGCTGTAGGAGAATGCTGCGACCACCACTCAAGCGTCGGTTATCATGGGACGTGGTTGTTCACGTCCGCATACGCAGTTTGCTGTTCTGAACGAACTTTATTGCAAATGCAGAAGGTCGTGGAGCTTCAGTTCTACTCGACGCCTTACGGTCTTTCGATGTGCACCCGAACGATGAGGGACCTCTCTTCATTAAGGCTTCTATCATCGATTTTCATTTTCATTTTGACCAAGTTCTTTGTTCTCTCTGCAGCGAGGGATATATGAACCTAAGCGATGATGACAGACATTTTGATTTTTCGTTAACCGAAAGCTGAAAATAACCGATACCGAGTTACTGACCGAAATAAGGGAGGTAGCTTGGACAGGGCTACTCTTCCTTGCTCAGTATCTCGCTTATTTTCAGCAGTTTTTGCTTATTTCAGTTTTTCGAATAGTTCCGTTGTTACTTCTAATCTCCTCTGCGACAACATTCCCCCCGCAATCGGCATCGAGCGGGTGTGGTTTGACATCCGGGTCCGTTACCGATCCTTTCAGAAGATGCTGCATGGAATCTACAGTAGTGACCGTTTCCGTCTCATTTTCGAAGACCATCCGGAAATCTACGAGAGCTGAAACTTACGAACCACCTGGGTAGCTTTGGTGATCCCGAGTAGTTCTCTGGATAGTTCTCATGAAAGACCTGGGTAAAGTTCTTGTCTGGATACTAGTCTTAGTAATTTTGAGTCAAGTAGTACCAGTACGCATTCTATTGTTACTAGATGATTTTAACGTCCGCACTTCTATTTGATTATGATTTAATTACCTTTCCAAACACGTGAAATTGAGTTTTATTTGCAGATGAGAAGTCCTTGACTGCTCCCCATTTTTTTCTCCCTCCGCTTCAACCTTTCCGGACAGGGCGTAAGACGTCGGAATCTGTGGAGAAATTAGCGTAGTATTTGTATCACCAAAGCTTGCTGCTGCTGCTCTGAAGTCGAGAAGCGTGAGTATCTCAGTCTCTAGGCGGGTGGGTATGAGTAGAGTGAACCGCGCTGCTAACCTCATCGACGGAGAAGCAACAGCGCCAGTCGCTGTGGGCAAGCAAGCATGCCTCAGTGCCAGAAGAAGACTTCCAACCAGATGAATCTTCTGCAAGAGCGTCTTCGCTAGCCTAAAGCAATCAAATGTTGAAGCGGCTGTTGCGTATGTCGAAAACGCACCTGCAACCGTGGACCCCGCGTCAAAAAACAGCGCGGCTGTTGATGTTGATCAGAAAACAGAATCACTGAGGAGTACGCTGCCGATGCATAGTATCAATTTGAACCAGTACCAGGAGCAGCTGTTTTCGCATGGCGACATCGAATGTGTTTCGGCATTTACGTTTCCAGCTCAGCGCGTAATCTCGAGCGGCGTGAACTGCAGAGTAGCGCTATTTTATGCCGACTTACTTTTCTAATTCTAGAATTTCTAAAGCTTAACTTCCGGGTCTTGAGCATGAGGACTCTCTTCCATAAAAACAATACAAGAGATGATCTAAAGTTAAATGTTCTGATCCTTTCTCCGCACAAATCCAAGTTGATTCTCTCTTCTCATAAAGGTTTCAGCATTCCACACGTGCAATATTGAAATAATGAAGCCGAAACCATCAGCCCAGGATCCTCTCATGTCTGGGCCGATCAAAGGGCATTCTAACAGATCAGAAAGATGATTTTTACACTACCTATGGGCACTATGGGTTCTTGGCGAGGACGTTTCGAGGTTCTTGGAGGCTATCCGCGAGAAAGTGCGGGGGACCTTGGTTCTGAACGCGCTGTGTGTTTCCTTGCAGATGAGAGTTCGAATTTGAATGTAGCGCAGGAGGAATCTTTCTTGCTCAGATCGACTAGTACCTTCTTGATTTTGAGGTGGTGCGAGATTTAGGTCGGGATTGAGACTCGAACTCGATCACCTTCTTCAAATCTAAATGATGACCGCTTCAAATCTAAATGACCAAGTTCATCTTTGGAATTCGAAGAATATGTGTGGTGCTGGTGACGAGAGCCTCGTCCTCTCCTCTCGGTCCTCTGGATGTCGTCTGCAGAACGCATGGTCCTGCTCTTTTTCTTTTCTAAAAGACCGGATACATACAACACACCTTCCTGGAATCTAAATGGATGAATGAATGAAGATGCAAATCTTGATGACTGACTAAATCTAAATGGAAGCTCATGTTAGTGCCAATGCCAAATGCTTCTAAGGACGGGGGTTTCGTTAAAGGGCAAAGTATTTTCAGTTCTCTTGTGTGATCCAGTATAGTTGTCGTCTGAGCTCCAATATGCGGAAGATTCTGCCGGTTCCTGAAATCACGATCTTCGTTGAAGAGGTAAGTGGGCTGTTCATGGTCGGCTGAAATAATGTTCCCGTTAACCTAGCCTCCATCTGAATGAAGAATTTTCTGATAGTATTTTCGAGTCTTAAAAGTCGAATTTTTCCTTCTTTCCAATCTACTTTGAACAGGGTTTGTCTGTTCAGCACACGAGGACGTGTGTGCTCCAGACTGGGGCTTGCCATGGGATGGTGGGTCCCGCTGTTACTGACAGAAAGGTCAGGCAGCGAAGATGATGTTAGCACCATAGCTCTCTTGCTCTTGCTCTCATGATGGATACAAGATGGCCTCTGATTGTTTTTTCTCGAGATTATTTTGGAGAATCTCGGAGCTGGTCTTGTTTCTGATCCGCGCGACGCTTCTGAGGCTCTTCGAGCTTCGTTGGCCGAGCACCGCTTTCTCTTTATACCACTAACCGCGGAAGAACGAACGGTCGGCGACAAATCAAGCAGATCTCCAAGGAATCGGAGAGCCATCAAAGTATTGCGTGATGATGCACAGGGGGACTTTTATCGCCGATTGACCTTGAAGAGCCTGACTTTGTACGTCCAACATCGTCCTTTTGAAGTGTCAACTTCGGATTCTGCTGTTCCCGCAGTCTTGTAGCTCCTGAACATCATCGTCATCAGCACATGAGCAGCATCGGATGCGAGAGAGCAGTCGGACAACCCTTCCCTTCAAGCATCGGCACAGAAAGCACGGCTTCCCAGCAATAGTGATTTGTCGAGTTTCGACTCTTCTCACGCTTCCAATTTCTGGGAGGAAAATCCCCGTGCCGAATGGCAGAGAGTGCCACTCGTAGACGAAAGTGCAGATATTCTAGTTCCTAGGATTTCTGTTCTCGCAGAAGCTAAAGCTAATGCCGTGGCCACATGATCGCGTTGCTGTCGTGTCTCTACTCGGGAAATGGTAGCGGAGCGTGGTGGCAACACAACGGGGTTTACTCTTCTGATGCCGATTCTTTTGTCCGATATCTTGCTAACATCAAAAACCTTACACCACTTCTACGTCTAGTACTCTCTTTGAATGTCCTCTCGAGGTCAAATTTAGGCACAGAAAGCACGACTTCTCAGCATTTGTTTGGAGCTTTGGCTTTTTACATGACCTGATATTCTGAGAGGAAAATCCCCGTGCCGTAGGATAGAAAGTATCAACTGTAGATAGTGAGGCAGATTACTTGCCATAGTAAGTGGTCTGTTTTCGCACAAGGAAAAGTTAATGTCGTGAGCAATAGTGTTGTGTATGTTGTCGCGGCTCAGCCCGCTTTACTCTGTACTCAACCCGCTAACTCAACGGGGTTTACTCTTCTGATGCCTGTGAGATTCATTCGAACAAGTACTGAAATGGTGTCTGGATTTTTTTCGTGGTGATTTGTGTAGTGGTTTTGTTGTTGATATATTTCTTCCTCTAGGTGGCGCTGGTAGTGGCGGGCGTTTACCGGACTGTTCGCAGCACTAGACTCCATGTTCCAAGCACCAGCGCATTCGGTGGTCGAGCGACATTCGGTTTGTGTCTCGAAATGAAATCTGTTGAATCGGTCGTCGTGGTGGTTGTGTGCAGAAAGACCTGAAGATATAGAAGGTTTGGGTTAAAGAGGACTTCAAGAAACAGGCGGTGGCATCTTTGATTGATCGGTCTGAAAAACAGGAGAAGAGGGCTTAGAAAGAAGAAATGTGCGCACATAGTTTGTCAGATTAGAGGAGCAGTGCCTTATAATCGGTTCTGAAATTCGAGCTTTTCGCATGTGAGTGCACCAGACGAGAGCAGGAAATAGATGTAATCGAGCCCCCTTCCCGTTATCTCCACAGTTAGATTCCTTGCCGTGCACGATAAGAACAGCCTGACTCATCGAAAAGAAAATGTTGCTATTCTTCCTGCTTATTCTTTTTCTAATTTCAGAGAGACTTTTTAGGTGGTGCTGTGGAACTTGCAATTGCTCCAGTGCCCAAACATGACCTCATTCGTGCCTCACGACCTCTTTCTCGCGGTCGGCTCTCCCCAATGCGCCCGACCGAGTCGGCAACATCTTCTGCAACCTCATCTGCCGTCCTTCTCAAGTTTCGACGTAACGATGAACGAATGTGATGGGCGCCCGAATAACACTCTCGGCTTAGCGCTCCAGTATTGCGACAATCATACTGGTGCGTGCAGTGACGGTCTGTGTCGCAATGGAGATGTTTGCATCCAGGAAAGTCCCGGAGGACCTGGGAAATTCACACGTAAGTGCATTAACGATGCGGAATTCACGATGAAAAACGCGCGTAGATTTGCGGAAGCCCCTTTCCTCGCGTTGAAGCATTTTGTAGGCTGGGAGACGAGTAAGGGGGATGTAGAAGAGCGTGGCGTTACGGCAGACGACGGCTCCAGAACGAGCTTCACAATCGATTGCGCCGCGTCGACATCTTCGTTGATCCGAGAAGCCTGCAAAGCACTCGCTGGAGTAGAGGGCGCTAACCCAGAGTCAAGTGCTGTCCGCAACATGTTTCCGCCCCCTCCTGAAAACAGTTACCTTGCAATCCTCACGAGCAATGTCGTCAAGCCTCTCATTTTGGTTGGGGCATTTGTCGCAGCCACAGCAATTTCATTCGCCACCTGCATGAAGATTGGAGATTCGAAGTTGCCATGTTTGGAATATCATCGGCAAGCCGTCGTTGACGACACAGTGGAGCGACATTTTGCCAAGGCAGGACGCAGACAAGAAAGAAGAGACGCACGCCTGAAGCGCGAAAGAGGTGACAGTTCATCTGAAGATGAGAATGCAGCGAGGAGGAAGGCTGCTGCTGAGCGGACGAGGGGTCGGAGGGGATGAGATGAAGGATGGGGTCGGAGGGGATGAGATGAAGGTCATCTTCTCAGACTGTAAGAGGAATAGGGAGCACTTCCGACCTTCCCCACCATTATAATTTATCCTGCTGCGCTTGCGCTACTAGACCTCCAATTTGGCATAGAGCTACGCGTTGAAAAACTCCTGTCACGCACACGCAACCTGCTTTCTCAAAAAGTGATGTTGAGCACCATCGCCGTTGCTTCTAAGAATAGCTACGTTATGGGAGGAAGAACGCAAAAAATAGGCACATTGTTCCTAAAATCGGATGGAGCAGCTCCCTAGGATGGAGAAGGAACATGAAGTGAGAGTTTAAAAAATATGAAGTTCCGAAAGGACCAAGAAGAAAATCCTCTTTCACCTGCAGGGGGGCTTTTCATTACATCTTCAACCTCGTTCCTGAACCTTACCTCTTACAGTCGAAAACGGTTTTTTCGATTAGATTTTTTTAAAACCAAGACTGACAACTTTTTACTGGTTAGAATCATACTAGACTTCAAGATCTTGAGTATCAAAAAATGTTCGACGGCGGGAGGTGAAAGTTTCGGACGAGGTGTTGATCTCGGCGGCAAGAGCAAGCGAGCCGCCGGCGATCGGAAGCAGTTCCTTGAATGTCAGAGGAAGGAAAAAGAGACGCGACAAGAGCAGCAACGCAAATTACAAGCCGCTGAGCGGATAAAGCGGTGTCGTCGCAGCAATGTCGTCCTTAAATCTGAGAAAGATTCTCAGCGAGCGCTGTTTCGCAAGCGATTGGGCTCCGCGTCAAAAATGCCAACCCCATTGTAAGCGTGAGACTGTCGCCAGTTTTCCATTCTTGCATAGAAAGTGTCTTCTGACCTCGTACAGAATAAGTGGGCTCCGCGAATAAGGGGCTTAAGGAGCTCCGCGAATAAGGGGCTCCGCGTCAAAAATGTCAAGCCCATAACGAAGGGAGTACTATAGCCAATTTTGGATTTTTGGTTGATTGTCTTCTGAGGGGCTCCGCGTCAAGGATGTCAACCCCATCGTGATGGTCGGGCTATCTCCAATTTTCCCTTTTTGCATTGAAAGCGCCTTCTGGCCTCTGCCGAAAAAGGGGCTCCGCGTCGAAAGTGTCAACCCCATCATCAGTGTCAGACTTTCTCCAATTTTTCATTTTTGCATAGGGAGTCCCCGCGTCAAAAATGTCAACCCCATCATCAGTGTCAGACTTTCTCCAATTTTTCATTTTTGCATAGGGAGTGTCTTCTGCCCTCTCTGTGTACGGGGAGTTCGCGTCAAAAATGTAAGCCCCAAGATATACAAGGGCCTCACGGTCGCCAGTTTTTCACTTTTGCCTTGAGCGTGTCTTCTGACCTCTGCCGAATAAGGGGCTCCGCGTCAAAAATGTCCAGCCCATGATTAGTGAGGTACTATCGCCAATTTTCCGTTTTTGCATTGAGAGTGTCTTCTGACCTCTGCCGAATAAGGGGCTCCGCGTCAAAAATGTCAAGCCCATTATGACTGAAGTACTATCGCCAATTTTCCGTTTTTGCATTGAGTCGGCGGCTCCGCGTCAAAAATGTCAAGCCCATTATGACTGAAGTACTATCGCCAATTTTCCGTTTTTGCATTGAGAGTGTCTTCTGACCTCTGCCGAATAAGGGGCTCCGCGTCAAAAATGTCCAGCCCATTATGAATGAAGTACTATCGCCAATTTTCCGTTTTTGCATTGAGAGTGTCTTCTGACCTCTGCCGAATAAGGGGCTCCGCGTCAAAAATTGTCGAATAAGGGGCTCCGCGTCAAAAATGTCCAGCCCATTATTAATGAAGTACTATCGCCAATTTTCCGTTTTTGCATTGAGAGTGTCTTCTGACCTCTGCCGAGTAAGGGGCTCCGCGTCAAAAATGTCCAGCCCATTATTAATGAGGTACTATCGCCAACTTTCCCGTTTTGCTTTGAGAGTGTCTTCTGACCTCTGCCGAATAAGGGGCTCCGCGTCAAAAATGTCAAGCCCAGGGGCTCCGCGTCAAAAATGTCAAGCCCATTATTGATGAAGTACTATCGCTAATTTTCCCGTTTTGCATTGAGAGTGTCTTCTGACCTCTGCCCCTCTGCCGAATAAGGGGCTCCGCGTCAGACAAATAAGGGGCTCCGCGTCAAAAATGTCAAGCCCATTATTGATGAAGTACTATCGCCAATTTTCCCGTTTTGCATTGAGAGTGTCTTCTGACCTCTGCCGAATAAGGGGCTCCGCGTCAAAAATGTCAAGCCCATTATTGATGAGTTACTATCTCCAATTTCCCGTTTTTGCATTGAGAGCGTTTTCTGACCTCTGCCAAATAAGGGGCTCCGCGTCAAAAATGTCAAGCCCATTATGAAGGGTGTACTTTCACCAATTTTCGATTTTTGCTTTAAGATTGTCTTCTGACCTCTGCCTGCGAAATGGCCCTACTTCGAATGTGCGAAGAATTCATCTGCGAAATGGCCCCACTTCGAATGTGTGAAGAATTCATTCAAAAACTATGGCTGCTTGTGCTTGTGGTCTACCCCTGCTCCTACCGCACAGCTCACAAAGACTTCTATCAATAAATCTCCACAAACTCTATCGAATTCAAAATTTTGATCCCATCTGATTTCAAAAAGTAAATGAAGGAGAATCCCTCATCAATATACATCGGACTTTCCGATAGTTTGTGGTGTCAACTTGGCATAGGACTGCTCGTCATTCGGTTTTATGTGTGACAAGTTTTGTGTGACAAGGTCGGTTCTCGATGACATTTTCAAGGAAAAAGGATCTTCAAGATTGATGCAGTGGCACTAGTCGTAGTCACCACACATCTTAAGCTCCTTCTATGTCGGCCTTCCATCTGGTCTTGCAATCTGTGAATGGCCACGACTTCCGATTCGTCACATAACTCACCCATGATAAAAACTGTCTCTGCGTCGACATTCTATGAAGATGTCTCTTATGCGTGTGTGTGTGTACATGTCGTGACTGCAATTTTTATAGATGCGAAACCTGGCGGTGGCGTTGGTGTACTTTTCTACGTCGATAGCCTCTCATGTCTCTCATGGCGAAAAATTCATTATCTCATCTATCCCTGTTGTATCTCAATCCCCATCGCGATAAGACCCAAAATTTATTTTGTTCAGGACGACAGGCACAGAGGACTCCTCGACTTTATTCGAGATGAGCGTTTGAATTTTTATCGAGCCTTTCGATTATTGTTTCTGAGAGTACATAGTGTCTTCTATCTAAAAGGGAAAGTCATCTGTCGATCTTCTCCTTTGATGTTTTGTTCAGTTGTATCAGTAAGAGTAAGTATCGTAAGGACGAGAGTTTTCTTGTTCACTTTTCTCATTCTTTACGCTCCGTGAGTGTTTTAATTATGATCGGTTGCCTTCCAACTTGTAGTAGGAGGGTAGCGCGACTGAATGAATGAATGAATGATCTTGAAAATATTTCTCAAAAACATAATGTTGATTATGATTACCACGAGAAGTAGACCGTAGTTATCTCTGAGTATGACAAGTTACCCTTTGGAAGATTGAATGAATTTAATAGACTTGTTACTTAGCAAGAAGAGGACCACTTAGAAAGACTAAGTGCTGAAGAAGATTGACATATATCGATATCCATTTTTATCTAATCATTAGAATGCCAACAAAAACAAAATGATGGTATTTGATTTCCTACGACGACGTAAATTGATTTATCTGTCCTTGTTAACGGCAGAATGGTCGTTTGGGTGTCTACTAACACCATTAAATGGACCAGGACGAGCTCCTTGCTTATTTGCTTCGGCGGCCGGTTTCGGCCACGATCCGGAAGCGAGAGAGAATACTAGAGAGGGAAACCCAGTTAGTAACTTGATTGCCGACGTGGCCAGGTATTCGGTTTCCAAGCTTCTAAGATCGGAGGACGAACGAACAGAAGAACCTTTGCCGCAACTACCTGCTTCTGAAGATCATGAAGGCGGGTCTGGGCTTCTCAGGTCGGACGAAGCTTCTGAAGATAGAGAGTATGAGGATGAATGTGAAGCATCTGCAGAAGAGGATGAAGATGAATGTGAAGCATCTGCATCTGAGGAAATTGGGGTTTGTCTTACTTCTGGTTTTTTAGGTGGACTAGAAGCTCTGGAAGATGTTCAGCCTGTGCCTGAAGTTGATGTTGAGCAGCAGCTTCAAATACCATCAACACTTCCAACGAATCTTCCCGGACGAGAAAATCCTGGCGAAAGTGGGATCTTAGCGGAAGGGACAAGAGGACGAACACGAAAAGTGGATCGTGATCCTGTTAAGGCTCTCACTAACTCATCTTTCACTTCATCCTTGAAATATAGTATCAAGGAGTAATATCGGCGGAGAACAAGACTCACGACCCAACATAGGTACTGTTCGAGGATGCACTTGAGAGATGATGATGAACGGCGGACAGTTCTACTAATTCTGGCGCTGGCGGAGCGCCCAGGAGAGAGTACGTGGAAGAAGCAAGCGCTACTGGCTCAGATCGTCAACCTGACCACCACGAGGGACAATTAGGTACTGGTAGTTGTCCGCAAAAGCAAACAATATGCAAACGCATCTTTTCCACAACTTTGAAACTATTAAAAGACTGGAGCTGGTGCTGGTGGGCAGCAATCGCCAACTGTCGAATCGGGGGCAAAACGAAGGATAGTCGCGGTGTTGAGGACCAGTCTGAGGTGCAGGCTGGAAGCCTTGTCGATAGCTGGGGTTACGATGCAGATGCCGAAGATGATGAAGAGTCCGGAAGTCAGTCTTCTATTAAGGCAGCTTCTAAGTAGTTTTCGGAGTTTAACGTACGTGCAGAACAAGTAGACTTTTGTTCCTTCTATCGTTATTTTTCTAATATCTCCCCGACGATTAGAAATAAGGATGTCGTCGAACATATTCAAGTAGGGAAAGCATTACAGTCCTCAAAATGAATGCCACAGAACAAGGATGACAATTACATACACGTTTAGTTCAAAGAAAAAGTAGAACTAAAAAGAAAACACTACAAGTACAACCTCTAAAAACGTACTATCTGGTGCTGAATCATTGAATACTTGGTACTCTAGTGGCCTGTGTGATGAAGAGACAGAGACACCAACGACAGCACCGCATCAACGTCAAGTGGAAAGATATAACATCGCCGACGAGAGTCAAAACCCGGATGACTACTGTTCTGGCCAGAAGAACGACCACGAGAGCGAGAATCGTCACGGCCCACTGAAGATTAAGGGTTTCCGAAGTGCATTCCTCACTACCATTCCTGACCCTTTTCCTAGTAGAAAAGAGGCCAGGGAAGATGTGCTGAAGAGTGTAAAAATTCCGTAACCTCTAAAAAGAAGGAGCGGCCAAGGACATGCGAAATTTTTTCTATAAGCAATCGTTGTACACCTTCAAGAAGTGCATTGGAGGTGCATGATTGGTACCACGCGAAGAAGCCAGTTTCTGAAGATGTCAAACCAGGTGCACATCATACTGAAGGAGAGGATGCAAGATGCACGACTTGGAAGGCACCACCAGAGGCAGCAGAAGACGGGGAAATAGATTATGAGTATAGGAAATCCATCTCCAAAGTCATCTGGACTAAGAAAATAAGAAGGAAAAGGAACCCAGATGATTTGTGAGATGAATTCCCGATACCTCTAAATGAAAGAGCAGGACGAACACGAAGGAGCTTTAAGAGAAGAACTGTTGACAGAAAGACACGACCTGCAAGAAGAACAGGAAATAGATGTGGAAATACCTTGCCAAGAAGAAGAAGAAGAAGAAGCAACAGCTCCACCCAGGAACGCGCCCAGAAGAGGAGGAAAGAAAACTAGCGCTGGCCATAGTCATAGTGTGATCCAACACCGATCGCGGCCACAACGACATCTCCGGAGGTCATCTAGGCCACGACTGGGAAGCTTAGTTCTGTTCTACATCATGCTGCTCTGGTCTTCCTTTCAACCACAGTATCTTCACAACTACACTAGGGATGTTGGCCTACTTTCACTTTCAAGACCTGGCGAGCGTCAGCATGACGACCTGCTCCACAGGTCGTGTGCCATCATTGGAAACAACATTAACATTACTGGAAAGAATAATGAGAATATCTTCGGCAGAAGCTTCACTGGAAAGCCTGAATATGAAGATATCATGCGCAACTACACCAACAATAGCCACGAGCACGAGCACAACGACCACCGCCACGACACATGTTCAGTAATTAAACGACGACAAGAACATCAACAACACGGAGCACCACAAGAAGTAGGAGCACAACAAGAAGCAGGACCACGACAAGATCATGAAGAACTAGAAGAGCAAGCAAGTGGGCGGAGTGCATCAAGGAAGTCAAACAAGTCATCTACTTCTACTTGTTCTACAGCGCCAATAGAACACCACTATTCTACTGAGCTGAATTTAACGGTTTTAGAACAACAACAATTGCAACAACAAGCACAGCAGACACAAGTCGATGACGGCTTTTTGACTTGTTTCGATGAGCAGGAGGAACGAAAAGAAGGCGTCGATGAGCTGGAAATCGAAACAGATAAGACAAAAGGTGTGGTCGCTGAGCGGGAGGAAAGCGAAAGAAAAGAAGCGTCATCTGTCGATAACAAGCACGCACAAAAACATCATCAAGAGATGCTCATACCGGAAGCGCAAGAACCGCTTGATTTTAAATTTAGCACTAGGAAACTTCAAGCACATGTTGTACCCGTGTTTCACTCTCCTCTGTCTTGTAGGAGAGTGTCGCTGTCGTTTACATTACGTATTCACGATTCAGATTTTTTCGTCTCTTTTACTTTTTGTCCCGAGAGGATCCGACGACTTTTGCTGGGTCCAGCGGCAACTGGTGCATTGCTGGCTAGTGGATTGGCAATCAGTATTATCAACTACGTGCGTGCAAGGCTGCAGAGAGCAGTGGATGTTGGAGCATCTACTACATCTAACGTCGGAGAACAACAACAAGTAGGCATACTTTATTCTTGTTGTAGTTCTTCCTGTCTGACTACTGGAGCTGCCTCTTCATCGTCCTGTAGTAGTCCCAGTGGAGCAGCATCTAAGTCATCCTCTAGTAGTTCTAGTCCCGGAGGAGGATCTTCGTTTTTGTGCGATGGCAGTGCTTGGAAAAGCACGCCCAGCTGGTGTACTCGTCCTAAACAAGGCACGTTGTCCTCGGCAAAAATGGCAGGTGATATTGATGAAGACGACATCAAGAAGGGAAAAGGAGAAGCCGATGACATAAAAAAAGGAACTCCTCCTGCATCAAGCAAAACGTGTCAACCTTTCTTGACCGATGACCCTGATCTAGCATCATCTTCTTCTTCTAGTATGCCACTTCATCCACTTACGTTGGACAAGCAAGATTCAAACTGTCCTCGAAGCAGCAAAGCTTCTCTTATGAGTGTAGGGAATTCATCTCTAAAGTCGTCCTCTGGAAGGAGAAACCAACAAGAGAAAGCGATCCAGATGATTCCTGAGATGAATTTTTTCCTAGTATGGATGCCTCTAATTATCAACGTCAGCTTACCACTATCACTTGTCCTTCTCCAAGTCTTTCGCCAAATTTTTCAGAGAAAGGTGCTGGAGGCGTCCAAAGTACAACTCTTCTCCCTTCAGCTTCCTCTTGTCTTGCTGGAGGTGCTGGTGCTGCTGCTGCTGCTGGAAATGATGAAGATGAAGATGAAGATCAACATATCATGTCATATCATATGACGCCAGTGGCGAGTGGACAACAAGATGCAGTAGATATGACCACAATACTTCTGAGTGCGGAACAACGTGAAGATCTAGATCTAGATGTACCACCTTGCCAAGATGAAGTAGATTTTCCTCGATTGGGTCGCGGACAACGAGATCCAGACTCACCTACAGTACCTTTATTAAGGGTTGCCACATTGCATTCTTCACTATCATCCTTGGCCATTTTTCAAGGGGGGAATAGGCTAAGGATGTTCTGAAGAATGCAATTCGGCAACCTTTAACTTTATTACGAGAAGTTCCCGATCACAAAAATTCTGCAGCCCCAGTTCCTGGTGGTCCTGGCAGTCATAGTCCTAGTCATAGTTGTGTTAAGTGTACGACTGAGCCCCCTAGCAATGATAAAGAAGTTCTTCCTGCTGCGCATTTACTCGAGTTGAGGAAGATCCAGAAGAGTAATCTGATTGATTCAGATCATGTGGCGACAGCAGTACCTCCAGACTCCATGACGTCTCCTATTTCTTGTGCTGCAACAGAGGCACCTCCAGCGCAGGACTTCACGTGTAGGAGTACTAGTACTTCTTGTGCTCTAGAAGTTGTAGAAGCCGCGGAAAAAAGTGGTGTAGCGAACAATGCGGGATTGTTCGGAGTAGAACAGATGACGGTACTGGATGGAGTGCTCGATAGATATAATTCCCTCCAAGTGGATTCCCTTCATTCGGTTCGCCATTCTGTACCTGTCGTCGGGAATCATGGAGCTCCTCCTGGACAAGGGAATGATGGTGAAGAAGGTCCTACTGCAGCAGCGTTTAGTACTGTGAAGGAAGATGGACGAAAGGAGTTGCCCTCGAACTCGATTGCTCCTTCTTTCAGTTGTTCGTTTTCTTCTGTAGCTAGAACAGCAAAAGAAGCACAGGAAGAACAGGGTCAAGGTGAAGATGAAGACAAAGATGAAGAACGACCACCAGCAGCACAAGAGGGTCAGGACAAAAATCAGGGACGAAAGTGTTATGAGGATACCGACCCTGGTGCTGTGCCTGTGGATATCATGCCGAAGACTAAAAGAACGCCTTTGATGTTGTGCGAAGAAGAACCTAATGCTTCCAAATCGACTAGTTCCAAAAGCCTCTCCGAACTTATCCGCAGGAACGCTTATACTCTTGCTGCAGAGATAAAGTTAAGGCCTATTTGCTTTTGCTATCTCCCCTGTTCGTTGTAACTAAGGAGTCTAAGAATAATTCCTTTTGAATTTTGTTTTGGGAAAAACTAAACACCGAGATTTTTAAGGTTTTCCAGAAAAGAACTCCTCTCGCACCAATAGAAATTCTGACCGTAATATAACTAATATGAGAATATCTAGTAGTAGAAGGTGTAAGAGGTGCAGTTTAATATGAAATACGAACAGCCTTAGCCCAAGCTGCTCTAAGATGAGCCGTGGTCGTAAGTAGGACCGAGTTAAACGATGAAGATGTGGATTGCACTTACAGTTCGAACAGCGGCACGAGTCAAGTTCAAAGGCCTGCGGAAGAGTCATCCTCTGCTTCTTCATCCGGTGTCCGAGAGCAACAACCACTCGGCACAAGTTCAAGCAGTCTCTTGCCACCTGTATCCTCTTCGAGCGAACGTATTTACTTTAACGGAACAGCTGCTCCGCCTTCGCCGTATGATGGTAACGATCAATTTGAACAAATATGGGGACGACCGATGGATCCAGCTCCAGCTGCAACAACGCAAAATGGTCATAATATCGAAGAGCGCCCACCTCTGATCACGGCTTCGCCTGGACCTCCTGTGTTGAGTCTTAGTAATGCTGCCGCTTCCTCAGTAGAAGTGCTAGAATCGCAGGACCGACAGCAGGGTGGAGCAGGGTGGAACCCGCTAGAAAATCCGAGAAATCGCAGGAACCAGGAAGAGACTGGAACTGGTGCTCTGAGGAGGAGTATTTTCTTTGCTCCAGGGTCAAGAGATGCAGATGGTGACAACTACAAAAAAGAGCCACTTCTACCAGAACATTTTGTTCCTGCTGAGGGGAAAATAGAAATACCAAATAAGTACATCTTGTTCTGGCCTTTTACTTCTGCGTTTTCTAGCAAAGAATCAGGAGTAGATGAAGATGATAGTCATAGTGATAGGGACGCAGACCATGGTGATAGAGATGCTGTTGACGCGAATGGTGGAGGTTCTCTGAAATTTACTGTTGGAGCATCAAGCTCAACAGATTCAAATTATAGGCTTCCAAGTTCGACCGAGACTGCACTTCTTGTTGGCGCTGTTGCACTTCTTTGCGCCTTTGGGGGACTCAGCATTGCACTACTCCTTGTCGCAGTATGAAGATCTGCCTAGATATCTGAGGACTTCGGTTTTGATGTTGATTTTGATGTCCTGTGATATTTGTTTATCCTCCTTGAATTCGATAACTTTTTTTTTGCAGATTAATCGCAACTACGACTTAATATTTGCAAAACGTCTAACTACATGCTTCAAATGATCAAGCTGCACATTAACATGCAACATCTACTTATGTACTGCTCACAACATTTTTCTCCCATACTTTACAAATTTCCTAGATTGTTTGTTTGTATTGATGCGCCCTGGGCAACGCATACGATCATCTTGCCGGATTTCTTTTTTTGTTTCGTGTGTTTTGTGCTATGGTCGCCACAATTTCATAGATTAGATATTATGGACTTCGCTTTCACTACTATGACTAATACTATATTCAATTCCATTTGAATGAACATGAAGATTTCAAACTTTTATCCACGTCAGTAATCCGTGTAACATCATTGAGCTCTCCTAATCCCAAATAGAAATTTCTAGTAAAAATTGATCTAGTAGATCAGGATGATTGATATAATGGTTGATTTCTTTTTTACAATTTTTAAAATTTACGTTATCGTCACTCACAATCACAGCATAGGGTCGACTCTATTGGGCATTGGGCTTCAGATAGGGTCGACTCTATTTGGCTTATCGACACTACTTTACGTTGTTTTCTTTTGTGAGGAAGTGTTGGTCTTGAAGATGAATCAAAAATATTTATAGTAATAGAATAGTCTCAGGACGTGGTGGCGCAGTCACTGCAGCCGCGAGCCCGGTCTCCGTTCAATTCGTGGGGGCCCTATGAATGAATGAACTCGCATCTGTTTCTGTACTGAAAACTAAGATAATAATTCTTGTACAAGAACATCTACTTCTACATCATAAGTATAAGTAGGACAACTAATATGAATATTATTTTGATTATGATCGCAGTCGCGCAGGGGAGGTCGCTTCCTCATCATGTGGACGATAGTATTGTCCTCAAGAATTCATTGTTTCTGATGCTAATAAATCCCATCCATGCGCATGAGATAGAGAAGAAGAAGTGGATCAATTCTATCCTATTCTAAGAACAAGAAAATTATGCTGGAAGATGAACAATCGAAAGAACTGATTGTCGCATCTACTTCATCATATCTTCGTCTGTCTGTTTAGCGTTGTGTCTCATCTTCTTTTGTCTCATCTGCTTCTGTCTTACCTGTTTCGAAGATCGCCTGCGTCTGTCTCATCGTCCCATCTGTTTCCAGGATCCTCTAGTACTATGTGGAAAAAGAAAATTGTCATCCTCGTCGCGTCGAGAAGCAGCACAACTGCATTTTCTTACATGTCGTGAGATCGCGATTTCACTCTACTTGAGATCCTAAGTACCTAGTACGCGTGACTGTGCTCATCTACTTCGCAGATGTAGTCGGTCCTATGTGGGATTTAGTACAGAGGTCTTCTTCCTCGTTTTGAAAAGAGTCACTACATGAGATTGAATTGAATTACATGAGAAAGAGATGATCCCAGATCGAAAAGATTCCTGGATCAAACAGATTCAAAGATATTGACAATGAAAAAGATCACACCCCAGGTCCAAAAGATGGTTTACATTGAAGAAAAGATGATGGTTTACAAAGAAGATCACACAGGTCCAAAAGATGGTTTACTTGGATCCAAGAGATCCTGGAAATCGAAGAGATCACTTGAAACCGTTACCCCAAGTTTTGAAACAAAAGGGTCCAGGAAAAAGGAAAAACAACGATTGGGCTATCGATTTTGATCTTAGACGCGGAGACAATCAAAACCAAAAGTTGGCATAATAAAAAAGCTTACGCTCTACTGCTATCCTTGTTTTCTTACTTCCCTTTGGTATATCAAACAGAAAGCTTACAACGCTCTTCAGCCCTTGGATAAGAAAATTACTATTTCACTAGAATCAATAAAAATAATCAACTATTTGCTTGTCAAACAGCACTTGAGAGTTGAGAGCATCGCTTTTGGTGACTTAAAGGAAAAGGCTGAAGCGCTGGCACTTCCTTTTTTTTTTTAAGTTTGCGCCTCTTCTACTTCTACGCACATCTGTTCGATTTACGCAACTGCAAGGAAGAAATAAACTACAAAATAAGTAGTCTGACTGTTATTTGACTACCAATCTCACCGATCTCAAAAGGAATATTTACACCCGCTAAGAAGATGAATCATCTAATTCTGTTTGAATCAGATAACTCGACTCGAAGGAAGAAAGTAACTTTTTTGGAGGTTTTTACTTAAGTAAAAACCACTATTACTGAAATAAAAAAGATGAAAGTCAACATTCCACACCTTGACAGATTTAGTGCTTGGGAAAGACTGCTTCAAGAACAACAAATAAATATGGAGGCCCAGGCCAAAAGGAAGAAATGAATGGCAGCAAAATGAATAAGATGAGACCCTCTTCCCGTCCGTCCTCCTCCAGCGGCGGGGCCGGGAAGGTTCTCCCCATGTTTGCCATGATGGCAGCGTTTATGATTGTCATTACGGATGGTTCGGCTTTAGGAGCAAGAGCTGGAGACTTGGCAAGATTCTTCCGTGCGTTGGGTCCTCGAGCAGCAGCGCTACGTGACACTGGTGCTTCTGCTCTTCAACATCCAGGATTTCGATCTGCACACGTCCCACCACCTGGTGCTTGCGGCCCTCTTCACAAGGTTGGATATTACCAGAACGAAAATAACGTTTTTCGGCCATTTCCGATTGGGCCTCACCCTGCAAGTTTGCTTCACCCTGCAAGTTTGCTTTCTTCTGCAAGTGCGCCTTCTCGTCCTGCAAAACCAAAAGCTCCTGATGAGTCTATTGAAACGGCTCTAGAACTAGATTGTTCCGAACAATCTTGCTCTCCTCAAGCAGATGCCGGACAACAGAAACTGCAGCCGGATGCTCACGAACCAGCGGCTCCTGCAGACCCTACCGGGTTCCATTTTGGTCTCGCGCCGTGTGTCTTGCGTGGCAGAGTCAAGCAGCCTTATGGGTTAATATTGGGAGAGGGGAGAGGTGGAGAAGGAACCGTATTTCACAATAAATCCGTTGATGAATACCTTGAAGTTGAAACTAAATCCGGAGCTCCTCACAATCACGACTACAAGAAGCAAAAAGGTGGAGACTCTTCTGCTTTTGCCAGCCAAGATGTGCAGGAGCGACCGGGTGGAGCAATGGTAGCAGCACCAGCACTAAGCGGTCCTCTTGAGCAGGTTGGTGCAGAGCCACCAGCACCAGTTGTACAGGAATATAAAGAGCCTGTTGTAGATCTGGAACGAAGAGGGGGCTTTGACGATTCCGCAGGAGCGGATCATGCACCATTTCCAAACTCTATTATCATTATGGTCCCTCTGCCCAATGCTGATCCTGAGAAAGCGGACAATCATGCTAGTGAATTGCTGGATTTAGTCATCAAAAGCGAGATCATGAAGGAGCTTACTCCTATCCGAGGTGCTGGCAGTGGGCCTCCTGAGGCACTGACGATGTCCCCGCTGAAGGAAGTCCTCGAATCGTTTATCGCTTCTCTCTCAGGGGAGCGCCGATACGTTGATCCTGTTCGGGCTGCGCTGGACGACATTCGCAGACCTGAAGTGGACGAAAATGTTCGCCGCATGCTCAAAGGGGATGGTGGTCTTTCAGGAGTAGGCTTCGATGAAGGAGAAATGGAGGATGTAGTGAAACTCTCTGCTTCCGGAGAGCGACAAGAAATTTCTGCAGAACAAGAACTTGTAATTGGAAAAAAGACAGAAGACAAAGATGGACTTCCATCTGAAGAAACAACCCTCGTCGCTGCTCATGATGATGCTCGTGTTGAAGATTTTCTTCAAGCAATACTGTCACAAACTGAAGGAGGTAGAACGCAACCAACAGTGGTCATCTTCGGTTTCGGAGGACCTGGGACTGCTTCCACTGCCGAAGCAAATAGTAAGCTCATGAAGAAGGCCGTGAACGTGATGCAGTTTGATTTTGTGAAGGTGATTAAGGATTATCTGCAGGCGCAGACACAGGCAAACAGCAAGAGGCTCAATGCAGATCGAATGGAGTTTGCACCTTTACCAGCCTTAGCTGACCGAGAAAGAAGTGGCTCCTCAGGTGACCGAAAAGGGAGTGGTCCCTCAGGTCATGGAGATGTGAGTGGCTTCCGTGACGAAAGTGGTGATCCTGATCCAGGAGTCAGAAGCAGTCCCTTTGGTGACCGTGACGAAAGTGGTGATCCTGATCCAGGAGCCAGAAGCAGCAGCCCCGACATCTTGAAGCCCGAAGCAGCAGATGTGACTGGCTCCCGGGAAGGGAAAGCCAAAGAACCAAATGCTTCGCGGATAAACATGCAAGCTCTTCTCTTTCGGATAAGCATGGCACAACAAAAAGAAAACGGAGGGGCTTCGGAATCTTCGCCGATAAACATGCAAGATTTTCCTCTTCGGATACGCATGGCACTACAAAGAAAAAACGGAGGGGCTTCGGAATTGAATTGGATACTGATGCGACTCAGTATGAAGGGACCCCTTGATGTTATGGGACAACGTATTGGCATTCGTCCTCTTATGGGGTCGCTCTCGTCTTCTGGCGTAGCGGAACGGCCTCTGCTGGTCTTGGGTGGAGCCCGCGAAGCTGCATCAGATTCAGGTACTCAAATTTTCCAAATTGGTTTATCGGTTCCACGACTTTTTCGAAATGCATGTGCCTAAAGTTTCATTATGGCCTGCGCGTCATCTTCGTCACCATATCGAACCTCAATTATTTTAAAGCACAATCGGGCACAATTTACTTGACGAATCGAGTCTGTTTATGTTCTAAGTCTAAGACAACAGTTTTTATAAATAATTGAGTATTTCATTATACGAACAGCCTAGATATGGTTTATATGCAATTGCAATCAAAAATATCAGGCACAGGTGCTGCTCCTGGTCCTGGTCGTGCTCTTCCTGATACGTTGAACAACCCCGCCAGCAATGCACCAATACGAGGAGGAACAGAACCGTCATCCCATTCCTGGGATGCAACACTCGATAGAGCCGCTTCCGTTTCTGGGCCTGATGATCAGAAGGAAGCAGACCGAAGAAGCAACGCTGCTACCACCATTCAAAGACACTGGCGTGGCGCGAAGGCTCGGGCAGAGCTTAAGCGGAGAAGCGACGCTGCTACCACTATTCAAAGACACTGGCGTGGCGCGAAGGCTCGGGCAGAGCTTAAGCGGAGAAGCGACGCTGCTACCACCATTCAAAGACACTGGCGTGGCGCGAAGGCTCGGGCAGAGCTTAAGCGGAGAAGCGACGCTGCTACCACTATTCAAAGACACTGGCGTGGCGCGAAGGCTCGGGCAGAGCTTAAGCGGAGAAGCGACGCTGCTACCACCATTCAAAGACACTGGCGTGGCGCGAAGGCTCGGGCAGAGCTTAAGCGGAGAAGCGACGCTGCTACCACTATTCAAAGACACTGGCGTGGCGCGAAGGCTCGGGCAGAGCTTAAGCGGAGAAGCGACGCTGCTACCACCATTCAAAGACACTGGCGTGGCGCGAAGGCTCGGGCAGAGCTTAAGCGGAGAAGCGACGCTGCTACCACTATTCAAAGACACTGGCGTGGCGCGAAGGCTCGGGCAGAGCTTAAGCGGAGAAGCGACGCTGCTACCACCATTCAAAGACACTGGCGTGGCGCGAAGGCTCGGGCAGAGCTTAAGCGGAGAAGCGACGCTGCTACCACTATTCAAAGACACTGGCGTGGCGCGAAGGCTCGGGCAGAGCTTAAGCGGAGAAGCGACGCTGCTACCACCATTCAAAGACACTGGCGTGGCGCGAAGGCTCGGGCAGAGCTTAAGCGGAGAAGCGACGCTGCTACCACTATTCAAAGACACTGGCGTGGCGCGAAGGCTCGGGCAGAGCTTAAGCGGAGAAGCGACGCTGCTACCACCATTCAAAGACACTGGCGTGGCGCGAAGGCTCGGGCAGAGCTTAAGCGGAGAAGCGACGCTGCTACCACTATTCAAAGACACTGGCGTGGCGCGAAGGCTCGGGCAGAGCTTAAGCGGAGAAGCGACGCTGCTACCACCATTCAAAGACACTGGCGTGGCGCGAAGGCTCGGGCAGAGCTTAAGCGGAGAAGCGACGCTGCTACCACTATTCAAAGACACTGGCGTGGCGCGAAGGCTCGGGCAGAGCTTAAGCGGAGAAGCGACGCTGCTACCACCATTCAAAGACACTGGCGTGGCGCGAAGGCTCGGGCAGAGCTTAAGCGGAGAAGCGACGCTGCTACCACTATTCAAAGACACTGGCGTGGCGCGAAGGCTCGGGCAGAGCTTAAGCGGAGAAGCGACGCTGCTACCACCATTCAAAGACACTGGCGTGGCGCGAAGGCTCGGGCAGAGCTTAAGCGGAGAAGCGACGCTGCTACCACTATTCAAAGACACTGGCGTGGCGCGAAGGCTCGGGCAGAGCTTAAGCGGAGAAGCGACGCTGCTACCACCATTCAAAGACACTGGCGTGGCGCGAAGGCTCGGGCAGAGCTTAAGCGGAGAAGCGACGCTGCTACCACTATTCAAAGACACTGGCGTGGCGCGAAGGCTCGGGCAGAGCTTAAGCGGAGAAGCGACGCTGCTACCACTAATCAAGAAAACTGGCATTGGCGTAGCATTAAAAAGATGAGAGGTCAGGTAGAGGAGCTTAAACGAATGAAAAAAGAAAAAGACGAACACGGAGCAGACGCTGCTAGAAAAGTCCAAGCCTTGCAGCGAGGTAGGATGGCCCGGGGAGATTTTCACCTAAAACGCGTCTGCACTGAGGAGGAGAAACGGAAAAAAGGGGAAGCCGAAGCAAACGCTGCTGCCGAAACAGATTCTGCTACAAAAATCCAAGGCCTTCGACGTGGAGGTAGGACGAAGGTGCGGAAAGGTTATCTTAAGGCGATGGTTAAAGCTAAACGAGGGGCGCGCGCTGCTGCTACCAGTGCCATTGTTCAAAAGAGCCAGCAGGCAAGAATGGGGAAGACCTTGGCAGAGCTTAAGCGAAGACGTGCTGGAGGACTTTCTAAGGACAAGCGTTTAGGGCAAACTGCGCTGGTCCTCGCGGATCCTACTTCTTCTCCCATTGCCTCTTCTGTGAGCGACGAAGACTACTCCGATTCCGAATCTGACACAGAGGCCGAACCTCTGCCGGCAGGATCAGGAAGTGGAGGTAAAATGATTATCGCTGCTGGAGGTCAAGGTGGGGGTCGTGGAAACATCAATAAAAGCATTATGATTCCGTCAAGTGTTCCTGGGCCTGGTGTGAATGCGGACCCTGCGATTGCCTCGCGCCCATGGTCTCTTCAGACTGGAGGAGGAGTGCGAAAGTTCGGTGTCGATTGTGCCGGTCCCATACGTCAAGTCTACACGGATAGCGATCACGATCAGGGCCTTCTGAAGCCAGACGAGAAGGACCTTCTGAAGCGGGGTGGATGTGGACAAAGTTTTTATCAGCTAAATCAAGATGAAACTGGGAAGCCGATTGAAGGTGAAGCGCCTGGTGCAACAGCAAAGCCGACGACTCTTGAAAATACTGAACGCAAACAGCCTCCATCTTCATCTTGGACTGCACAGCGAATCACTCTTGTTGTTTTGGGAAGCAGTGTCGGCGTTCTGGGTGCTGGGGCACTTTGTCTATTCTTTTTCCTATAATTCGTGATTGGAACAAGATCGTCATACTTATAGATACATAGGATATATGGTACTTTAAGAAGACATCTTCAAGTTTATGCAGTACAATTATGCGGATCGTAAAACGAGATCATCAAATGGATATTCGTCAGTTATGGGGTGCCGCACGCGCATCTTTGGTCATTTAAGTATTTTGGTAGCCAAAGCGATCTTTTATACTATTGGCACTGGCCGCTAGTTTCGTCCCACTTGGTCAATTGCATTCGACTCGCCTTTTCAGCTTACTTTTGGGCTACGTGCGCGTGCAATAGTAAATCATTACTTTTTTGGCGTTTTGACAAGGAAGATGTTTGTACTTCATTCCGCAAATAATTACTTCGTTTCGCAAACTTTTTGTGTGCGCGAAGAAATTGAAATATCGAAAATACTTATTCACGCTGAACAGGATTCAATTCAATTCATGGACGCGACTCCTTTTTTTTTTTTGTATCGCGAGCGAGTTCCGTGGAGAACCTGCCTACATATTTCCCGCGTGGATACCGGCGTAGGGGGGAGTTCTTAATCTCCTTAACAACTACGCTAATGCCCCTACGATTTTAAAACGCTGAACCCTAGGAGTAAAGGCAGGAGAAATTATACACCTAGTACCTGCCACCGCGAACGATGTCCGTCTCCCCATTACGCGCTTATTGGGAATGCTAAGTTTGTGGGCCTCGGAACGATGTCCGCATAATCAAACTAATTAATTTTTGGCCCTAGGTGAATCTGCGCGGCATCTCATTGCTGAAGTGAACTAGGCGGATTGTTTTTGACTAAGTAAGAACATGCATGTTAATTAGATTGGTGGAGGAACACTACACGCTACTAGTTGCTTAAGGTTTTTCTTCATCTTCATGCATCACTTTCTTCTTGTGGCCGGCTCCTCCCGCTATGCAGCCGATGAGAGAAAAAACAAAAAGCAAAAATTGGAGGGCTGACTCCGACCAAAGGGGCTACCTTATGCCTGATAGCCACAAACGGGCGGGAGATAAAAAATCGGTGAGGGAGAGCGATGGGACACTCTCCCCCTTTCAATTACGTTGCATAAGTCTACCCATCTCAAAGAACTCTAACAGCGCGCAAGTTTGTATCTATATCGAAGTAGTCCCGACCTCCTTACTCACCAAGGAACCGCGCCTCCTCTAGAAATAACGACGCTCAAGTTAGTAAATCTAATTTATCAACAACTCGAAGCACTCAAGACAGAACAGGGACATTCGCTAACCCCTCTGGCGTTCCCGAAGGACCACTTCCACTAGGGATTATCTCATCACTCAAAACAGATTTTTTTTTTCACATGAACTCCGTCTCCCCATTACTGGGCATAGTCGACGAGAGCCACAAAAAACGGCACACCAGGCAAACGAATCTGCCAGGATTAAGAATTTCATCTATTTTTTTATTTTAGGTCCCTACCTCCATTACCAAACTTGTTGTATATATAAATTTATATGATAGATGCATAGATAGTCGCATCCTCGAGATATGACATAGTAGCTCCTGGCTCCGGTAGATCTAGAAAGTGAATTATAGGGGAAGGTAACGTAATGAGGAGGTAATCCGTTAAAAGGAAGACGGGGCTACACATGAAGAGTTCTAGGGTGGAACATTTCTTAATATGTTAGAAGTAAGAGGGGCAGCGTTCTACTATGTTGATGTTTACATTGTCAAGGAGAACAAGAGAGCCTCTAGCTCTAGAAGAAGTGAGAGTCAGGTATGACCATATATGGGACGAGTTCGAGTATACATCATTGGCGCAGGACCAAGGGAAGTCGTAGGTCCAATCCGAACCGACTAACGTCATACTTAAAGTACGTCGGTCCACGTCGATGCCGTTCCCTCATATCGCTTCCGAGCGTAGAGGAGCCGCAGCCGTAGCGGTAGGGATGGGGGGTGAGGCAAGCACATGGCTCTACAAATCTTTAATTGTACAGTTTACTTATTTGCCAGGGCGGTATATAATATATTCAAGAACCCTCCTCGTGCAGGCAGGACTGCTGTGACACACCTGCCGCCCAGTATGTAATTTGTATGACGTTACTTGAGCGAGCTAATTGATTGTTTGAAATGGCGGTGGCATATAGTTCTAACTCAAAAAATTAAAACTTAAACCCAGACGAAGGGTCGCCGCCGTCGCCCACTGAATTGAGTGGTTAGCTCCGTTAGTTACATCGGCCTCCCGACTAAAAAAAAGGAAAGAAAAGCAGATAAATATGTCGCGTCGATGAAACTAAAACGCAAAGGGATGGCACCACCATCATCATCATCATCATCATCATCATCATCATCGTCATCACTAGGCGGGGGGCCCACATCATGGCGATCACATCTTGTAGCACTTTACCCTGTGAAGAAATAAAGGCACATCTTCAATGAATCACTCAGGAACAAGACAGCTGCTGTGGGAGTTTTTTCTCCAAAGCTAATCTCACCTAGCCGACGTGGAGGACCTTGATTTAGTCTCTACGGTGGTCACAACCAATGGCCCTATCTATCAGGGAGACTCACGTAACACAAGGACATCAGTCATTCAATCAATCAAAGGCGCTTGCGCGAACCCTGCAATCAATCATGGCAAATCATCCGGGAGCTTGAATAAGAATGTTACGACGTCTACGATTATTTGATGCTTTCATATTAGAAGAAGTAGACATGGCATGTTCGATAATTTACGCAGCTTCAGTGTTCTTCTAACAAGAATGAAGAGAAGATAGCAGTCAGAGTGAGCAATTTCACTTGAGCTTGACGTGAGTATTCTAGAGGAGTATTTGCGGAGATGGTTGACTGAGTGAATGCCTGTGGAGAGAATACAACATGGATTCAAAAACATTTGACAAGCTTTTTCTCAGCGTCCTCGGTACTTATTGGACTTACTCCCCCCCAGGCGAATGGCTTTACTACTACAACTACTACTTGGCTGCTGCGCCTGCGTTGTGGGTCTTCATCGGTTCTTAGTAATAGTAGTGCAGCAATTAGAAAAAGAAAATCGATTGAGGATCTTCATCGAGTTATGATCTTCATGCACATGCACAAACTACATCTTCTCTACGGATGGCAACATAATTCCTACTAACCACAAGCTACGCACATGCTATGCGTGCTCGACGTTTCTTCCGTCAGCTACAACTGCTTGTAGCTGCCCTGCAATGCTGCTTAGGTTTGGGGGTGAAGATCCTGGAGGATCCCGTTTTCCTAAGACAGACCTCAGTGGAACGATGGCTGCCAAAGTCGCTCTATATCAGCCGTCGCGTCATTTTGAAGCATACACTTTACTACAGTCTATGATGCCACTGCTGCTCATTGAGAACATATGGATAGTATCATGGAGATGATGCCAACATATGGACAGCATCCACCACATATGGATAGATAATTCAACATTTCAATTATACTGTACGAAGATATTCTTGATATGGATTTACTTTTACGTCGTTCGCGTTCCACCTAAATAAGGGACCCGGCCAAAGGAGGGGAACGACATTCATCTGCTATCGACATTCTTAATAAGTGGAAGCATTCATACGCGCGTGATCGTGGAGCGTTTCACGGATATCGAAAGAAGAAAGAGACTCGCGATCTTCTTCCACCTCGTTCAGGTCAGGATACCGATACCTCAACACTAGTAGAAAGATGGAATCGATTCAGTGCGCATTTTCATCCGTCAAGGCTGTTCCTCGAATCCAGGGACTCAGCATCAAACAACAACTTTGCTTACTTGGACTCACTCGTGGAGGATGATAGCACGACCCCAGTCGCATATGTTAAGGGTAGTTTATCACTATCGACTATCCACCCATGTTGTACTAGTCCTCGTGGACTACTATGAATATTATTACTTCTGAGTGAACAAATTGTCCCCCCTGATCTGAAGGGGAAAATAGAGGAACAAGAAAAGGGCAACGCACTCGACCAGGGTGGACAAACTGTACCTCTAAAAGTGTGCAATTCGAAAGCAAAAAGGAGTTCGTGGAACTGTTGCATAGCGTCTGCAGCGCAGCTGAGGATGAAGAAGGGTCTAGTTCATCTTCTAGTTCATCATCATCTGGCACAACTTCCTCTTCCTCGATAGAAGGCGGGATAGAAGACGCTGCTGATGTTCAGCAGAAACAGAAAGCCTTGGCGGAAGTATTACGGTTGGTCGAGGCCGCAAGACTTAAGGAAAATATCTATTATACTGTACGACTATTATACTGTACTTATACTGTGGACGAAGTGCTTATAGTAAGTACGAAATCCCAGACATAATTTGTTCACCATTGAAAATTTGCGTCAAGAATTGGTAGCACTAGCCCCTCCAATTGATGATGCACCATCAAGGAACAGGAGCGAAGCCCTCTTCTTGAAGATGATGCTCAACGTCAACAGGAAGAGCAACACAATGATTCGCCTGCTCGAAGAACGAATAAATCAAGATGTTAATGCATAAAAACATCTTCTAAAGAACAAAAAACCGCTCGTCCGGTCGTGCAGGATATATCGCTTCTGACAGATGCAGTGTCTCAAATCGAGTGGCCTGAGTGGGTTCTTGACGCCGACGTCTACCTAGAGGAAAAAGATATAGACGCGGATGCTCACACGAGACAGCCTGATCTTTTCAAGGACTACGTGCCACGATCGGGTCGGCTTGTCACAACTGGAGGTGGTGATGCAACATCTTCATCTGCTTCTGCTTCAAGTGGTGGAGGGGAAATCGTTAGCCAAACACTGCCGTTATTAAGGCTTCCCCTATTAATACATTGAAACTCATCTACCTAAGAATAAGTACTTAATTAAGAAGCATGAGCATCAGCATCTTTGTGTATGTCTGTTTCTGTTTCAAGGTAAATGTCAAGACATGGAGATGCCTCTCAAGTAATATATCTAGCTAGTAAGGTCTAAATTTACCAGCATTCTATGATGACGCGATTGACTTAGTATGGGATCACTTTGGTTCGGACCGCGGCGCTTACTGTGGCCGTCGCCCTGGGAGTGGGTCAGCGTGTGGCAACTACTACGGACGCGTGTACGAAGAGATCTTGTTCGGAAGGGAAGGGCACGACAGAAAACACTGGCTACGAAAACCTAAGGCTCTCGCTAATCCTAATGGTCCATCTTTTGTTTAGACAAGTCTTCCTCAGACTATTACATTCTTTGCGTGAGATCCATCGTCGTGTAGACCATCTACGACGCCCTTATGGCAGTCTGCACTGTACTTTGTGCGAGAAGATTAATTGCATTGTGTTCATTGTATCTTTAACTTAGAGAGGTCATCCTAGGACGAATAGGAGAGACGTTTTCGTCAAGGCGGGGCACTTTCATCCAGGGGAATGGTCTCTCAATGGTTTTTAGGATTTCAAGATGGATGAATGTTAGAGTATGAAAACTCTAAAAACTGATGTGACAGTAATTTTCGCATCCTGGAGATTGGAATTGGATCAGTGTCGGCGCAAAATCCTGGTGGCCCGATGACATGGATTATGCAGGACCGATTAAACAAGCACTATAAACCATTAAGAAACTACCATTAAGAGCATAGTGCTGTACATGTGGCCGACGAGTACTAAGTAGAAGCACTAAGTAGTAGTTCTTGTTGGTCGACGAGTACTAGTAAGTAGAAGTACCGCCCTTGTTTTAACTTTAGGTCCAACCTCGGTTAAGAAGTAAAAGTGCCTGCACGCATCTAATACCTGGTCCAGGCCTCCGTAGTTGGCGGGCTCTGTTTCCGCGCGCGCACATAGACGGCTGGGACATCGATCCTGAGGCTATGATCCGCGATGAGCGTAATATTCACACTGCTGTCGTCAATAGTATGAACCGAACAGCCGTAGAGGCCTTTGTAAGAGCAGATGAGAGGACCAGGAAAGAGCGATCAACACTGGAGAAACTATCTGTACCACAGGGTTCTTCATCTCGTCAGGAAAATGCTGCTGGAGCATTACCTGCAGAACAACAACACGAGTCCTCCACATCCACAGGCGTCTGGGATCTCATCATATTAGGCCTTACCCTTATCCATCTTCCAAGGCATCCCGAAGAGGCTTTTCAAGGGGAAAATGCATCCAGGATGCCTCTCAAGATGGATAGGGGTGAGCTCTAACCAGAGATGATGGCCTGCACACGAGTCTGTCCGTAACGGCCTCCTTTGTTTTTCTTTTTCGGCATCTCAAGCTCGGAGGTATCTACTTCTGGGAGGACATTCGCGCTTTCTTGACCGATCTAGCGGGATTTTCTTACGACCTTAGACTGAGTAGGAGCGTTTTTACTGGGGATATGAGTTACTGCGTGTGTGTTTTCATGTGGAGACTTTATTGTGTAGTTTGCTGATGTTGATGTTATTGTGGAGTTGATCACTGGTTTAGCTAGTAGAAGTTCTACTTACAAGAGTAGTCAGTTCTCTCTTAAGAAGTGCCTAGCTAGTAAGTACTAGAAATTCTACTTAAGAGTAGTCAGTTCTCTCTTATTGCCATCTTCTTTCATATTCAATCAGAACAGAGCTCGATGCAGCACCAGCAGCTCTGAAAATTCTCTAATCCTCTCGATACCTTTTTGGAGGCAGTCCTAGGGAGTATCACACAGCTTTGTCCTACCACGGAGATATTGTTGGGATACGCGGTCAGAGAGCTCGACATACGGCGCAACAGTTAGCCGAGTCGGACGAGCTGCTTTTGCAGTCTATAGAAGCCCATCAGGGACGCTCGGGGGATGAATTATGGCTAAGCACTTACTTATACTTACCTGACTTTATTGCTGCAATCCTAATGCTAATAAATTAAGTATGTACATGTAATGTTGTACTTGTACTACGTCTAAGGACGATAACAAGACGCTTTTGTCGTGAAGCAGCAACAAACTACAAGCATCATAGAAGAGTCTCATACATTCATAGTAGGCCCTTCTGCTCATACTGGTCCGGTCTAAACAAGTGCTTGCTTCGTTTGTCGTGCTACTTGTTTTTCTCAATCATCTTGATCTTCTAAAACCAGTCGCACGGGAAAAAGAGAGCTTCGACAAAATCTCTTCATTCTCAGACCTTCAAGAAAAGATGACGGAGAAACGGACTCACCAGCAACAAGATGCGACAGCCTTTGCTCCCGTGAAGTACTTGTCTTAAGACTTTGCCTAATCCAGTATCTACAAGAGCATCGATCTCGGGTCCTTTCATCCGTAAAGAAAGAACTGCTTCAAGATGAATGAGCCTCAAGATGGATCATTCAGGTGGCGGTGAGTTCTAATTGTCGCACTTCCGATGGCGCTACAACAGTATTCAGGTTAGAAACAAGCTTCTTTTTGATTGGGGTAACTATTCAACCTTCGAGAACTTCCGATTCGCTACGGATCGCGCAGTTGTGGCCCATGTGATGAAAGACCCAGAAACACTAGCAGCCATGGGATTGGCAAAGCAGGTGGACAACGACAAGAGCAGTCTCAGCAAACTGGCAAAGGGTTCCGACATCCAGCTAAAGCGGTCCCTACATCTATGGAAGCACGCGACGTCTTCTTCTTCAACGAAAAATGCCTCATCGACTCTCTCTCTCGGTCTCGGGTCTACTAATGAGGCTGGAGAAGTGAGTCTAGCAAGATCATCTTCTGCCCGCGATCATCTTCAAACTGACGAGACCGCAACCAGTCGCGATCGCGATGGAAATCATCTGCAGTTACTACTCGAATCCCGTTTGTTGTACCATAAGTTCTTGCGCGACGATTCCTACGAACTTCAGAAGGATTGCGTATTTGACGATATTACGGCTAAAAGTTGTTTCTCAGTATTTTTTGTATTAACCTAGTACGACGCAAGTCTACATTGGTCACTAGCTCTACTGCAGTCTAGAAAATAAGCCACCGCTTCTAAAGACAACCCGAAAAGTATTCGTGGAAGGAGAAGAAGGACTAAAAATAGTGGACGAGGAGAGGAACAACAAGATGAAGATGAAGATGCCCTACTTTACAGCACCCCTGAAGATCGTGCACCTGCCGCTTACTTCTACGATCTTTGTTGCAAAGAAGGTGTGGACCCCAAGGACGAGAATAAAAGAGACTGCTTTAGTTACAAGAACTTGGGACAGACTGCATACCTCTTTTCTGTGTGCTGTGCAGCGACGCTTGTCAGGAACGCTCTGAGGACTCACATATTGTGAAGAATAATATTGTAATAGTGATATTGTGAGTCGATGACCTTCTTCTTCATTTTTACCGCTGCATCCACTATATTTATAAGTATAGTCCAGATGTTCATGCTGATTGACAGTGAGACTCTTTTTCTTCCTACTACACGTTGCTCTTGTCACTTTGTTAATATTTTGTTGGCGTTGGACTCAGATGTATTCGGATTCCTGTCTTGTTCTTTGCGTTGATGGTAGAAAATCTCATAAACCTAAGCGTTGCTTAAACGTTCCGCTCGCGACGATTGATGCGACCGTGTGACAAACATGAGCATGCAAGTGCTAGTAAGAAGAGGATCCTGCAGCAAAAGAAGTTCTTGATGATCTGGTTTGCGGTCTGAATCTGTGCTGTATCCACCTTATAAATATAGTGTCTGCATCAGCACGCTGCATGCATAGTATCTAGTTTGTCCTAAAATTTTGAGCATTCTTCAAAAACTCCGAACCCCTAGCACTTATTTTCTCTCCCCAACATCCACCACCTCATTCTCATTTGCATCTTTTATTTAATCATTGCCTTTGAAATGCGCCGAGAAAAAGGTACCTAACACTACTTGTCTTCTTAAACATTATCAATGGAATACCAAGCAAAGCAAGACGACATTATAGCATACTCAGTTACACTTACATAGAATAGACAACCGCATCAATGATTAGTACATCAAGAATTTTTTCTACTGGAGCTACAACTACAAGAACAAGAACTCCCCACAAAAGCGAATATAAGTATGTTGATACATAATCTAGTTGTACCGTTTCCCTTTCCGTTTCCATATCAATAATTTGCTAAAAGCTGACACCCGTAGATACATACTGGGTATATCATCATCCGTATCAAATAAAGTCAAAGCTTCAATAGGAATAGGCATCTTGAAATTGAAAGTCGCTTCAACATGTCGCTCTCCGCAATCCACATACTTTTCGTCGACCTCTCTGGCAATGTGGATACGTATAGTGTCGCTGAGCTCTTCGACAACGACCTGTATTTTGGGGATGGCGTCATCGTCAACGTTCATGATTGTGCATTTGGTTCTGGCGGAGGGTCGGGCACTCAGCATTATGGTGAGAGCATCAACGAAAGCTGTGAAGAAGGCGAACACGAAATCGGTCAGGGTGAGAGAACGGCTGAAGCGCAACACGACCTGCACCAGGGTGAAACTCGTGCTGAAGCAAAAACAGCTGAAGATCTACTTCAACAAAAAGCGGCCTCCCACGATTTTGACGTTCACATTGCAGCTGCTGAAAGGCTAACGTGGTTCCAGTTGGTAACTAATATCGCTGCGAGAAAAGGAGTCCCAAGATCACTCGTAAAATTGCTTCCACTTGATCCTGTGACTGGTGAAGACTACGATTACGATGACGAGGACACGCAAGATAAAGACAGCGAAGAAGAGGAATGCGATGCTGATGACACGCAAGATAAAGACGCCCAAGAAGAGGCGCTTGGTTTTGACAACGATGATGCTGACGATGACTATCAAGGAGAGCAGGAGTCATCGTCTTTTGCTGGTGGCAAAGGGAAAGGCATAAGAGGAGGAGACAAGCGTGACGTTGCCGAGGACCATCAAGTGAAGTTCTTGAAGCCTTCCGATTATTCTTGTTGGTTCACATTCTGTTTGGAAAATCCAAGACCCGCACTGGCGCATTTTCGCTTAGTGGTAAAGCATAGACCGATGCCGCACATCGACGACCCTGCTTGTTCCCCTTATGAAGTTTTTTTATGATCTGACTTCCAGCAAATTCTGTTTTATTTAAGAGACTTGTACTGCTCGGCACTATGTATTATACCTACGCCTACGCCTACGGGACGAGAAGCTACCTACTTAGAAGTCGTAGGTCCTGTAGTTTCTAGTTTCATCTACCTCCTGTAGTTCCCGCACATGGTATTAATAGTACACGTCGGCATAATTAGTTTTAGTACAACACGACTTTTTTTATCCCCTTGCTTATTTTATCCCCTTGTTCGACGTTGTTCATGCACTTCGGACATGATGAAGCTTTCCTCTGCAAAGCTTGCTCCCGAACGTCGCTTCGCTTGGCCGTTGCTCTACTGCGGCATACCTCCCAAAGAAGTCTGGGAAAGCAAGCAGCTTTTCTTTCTTTTGATACAAGAGGCAGCGTTTATGACACGATTCGAAATTATAGAGAGAATGGAACTACTTCTACAGATGTACTTGTTGCGTTTGCTATTTCTCCTGTACTAAAAGTGTAAGTTGGCACTGACGTTATTTTTCTTGACTTTAATATAATTAATGGTAGTTTCATTTCCCCTTCTTCCATAGAAGTTGGTACAACTGATGTATTATACCTAGAAGTTGTTGAGAAGATCAAAACAACGGAGTCGTGCTGGCGGAGTACAGGCCGTGTCGGAGTACGTGGCGGTTCTCAGTGAGTGATCATTGATAATAGAACCACCGTTCATAGCACATAGTAGCCGAGGACGAGACGGTGGAGATGAGGACGAGTGGTTTCAAGAACAACATGCTACGGATAATACTCGTTCTAACACGGAAGGAGCGGATACTGGCGATGTTGGGAGGAGTTCGTCGTGGTGCACTTTTTGTTCGAACACAATATGCGAGCTCTTGATTTTCATGCACCGCTTATGACTACCGCCAGCCCATCTTTTACAGCATCTTTTAGCCGTTTCCCACTTTGACTTAAATAGTGCTAAATGGTCTTTGAAGAGATGGGTCGCTTGCGGTACCTCTAAAACGCAAACTGCGCGAACCCGAACGTCAGCGTCAGATTAGACAGAATTTTGAGTATGAAGAAGCTTCTTGCACCCTTACTGTCCTCGTTGCCGCCTTGTGCACGTGGGGCACAGCCAGTTAAGACTTGAGATATTTCAACATATTTGCATGCTCTATATTTGGCACAATTCAAGAGCAGGAAACAAACGGAAACGTGTTGAATATGTAGGGCAAATATGGAGGACTGCCTCGACCTTTAATCAAGAGACAGGGAAGGTGTCCATGGGCTTCTCGATCTTGGAAAAAGCAGAATTTTCTTTCAGAATGAACACGAAGGGAAAACTCAACAGATTGAAGATCCATGTAGCCCTCTCACGACGCTAATGTGTCCCCTCTCGAGTTACCTCGTAGTGCCGACGCTGCTGAGCTACCTTTTGTGTGTAGGTCTTGTTAAAGAAGAGCATATTCTCGTCACTTCTAGGTCGTGGCAAGCTTCCCAATCAGAGTACCGGTCGGTGGTTCAAGAGAAGTTAAGGGTCGGAACTCGTATCTGGGTCTAGAGTATCTTCTGGCATCTTTATTCTTCTTCTTGCCTCTAAGTTCTTAGCGCTTCTACAACTCTCAAACTTATGATGAATACTCAGCTAGTTGTTCATCTATGGAGGTGGCGTAGAACAAGATTCTTCATGATCAGCCATTCAAGCACTTCTGTTCTCTCTGCTAAAAAGCTTACTTCTATGGTTCCATCAAGTTCAAGATGAAGGAAGGGTCCTCATACTAGTACTTCTAGATGATATGGTAGGTAGATATTGATAGGCCAATTTTCTTGGACGTCTAAAGAAAGTTCGGAAGCCTTTTGCTCGTCCTTCGAGGTCTACGAGGCATGGCGTTAGAGCCGAAGGTTGTGGTAGTCCCTGGGAGCCACCTGAATTTCATCGTTAAGAGAACGACCTCGTCATAGTCAATCATATTCTCGCGTGGTACCCGAGAAGTAAGTACTCATATTCTTATTCTTGGTGTTCTTAGATAATATTTAGATTTACTCTTATTTTTTCCACAAGAACAAGATTCTTCGATTGTAGAAGCAGAAGCGTAGGAACTACAATGAGAGTATCCACCACTTCGGACGAGTCCCCACATATAACGATGGATAATGGTTACCTAGCTTTAACATTGTGACCCTTTTGGTGTTGACCCAAATTTCCGTGATGGAGAACTCGACATGTGGCCCGGTGACAGTGAGGGTGTTGACCCAAATTTCCGTGATGGAGAACTCGACATGTGGCCCGGTGACAGTGAGGGTGTTGACCCAAATTTCCGTGATGGAGAACTCGACATGTGGCCCGGTGACAGTGAGGGTGTTGACCCAAATTTCCGTGATGGAGAACTCGACATGTGGCCCGGTGACAGTGAGGGTGTTGACCCAAATTTCCGTGATGGAGAACTCGACATGTGGCCCGGTGACAGTGAGGGTGTTGACCCAAATTTCCGTGATGGAGAACTCGACATGTGGCCCGGTGACAGTGAGGGTGTTGACCCAAATTTCCGTGATGGAGAACTCGACATGTGGCCCGGTGACAGTGAGGGTGTTGACCCAAATTTCCGTGATGGAGAACTCGACATGTGGCCCGGTGACAGTGAGGGTGTTGACCCAAATTTCCGTGATGGAGAACTCGACATGTGGCCCGGTGACAGTGAGGGTGTTGACCCAAATTTCCGTGATGGAGAACTCGACATGTGGCCCGGTGACAGTGAGGGTGTTGACCCAAATTTCCGTGATGGAGAACTCGACATGTGGCCCGGTGACAGTGAGGGTGTTGACCCAAATTTCCGTGATGGAGAACTCGACATGTGGCCCGGTGACAGTGAGGGTGTTGACCCAAATTTCCGTGATGGAGAACTCGACATGTGGCCCGGTGACAGTGAGGGTGTTGACCCAAATTTCCGTGATGGAGAACTCGACATGTGGCCCGGTGACAGTGAGGGTGTTGACCCAAATTTCCGTGATGGAGAACTCGACATGTGGCCCGGTGACAGTGAGGGTGTTGACCCAAATTTCCGTGATGGAGAACTCGACATGTGGCCCGGTGACAGTGAGGGTGTTGACCCAAATTTCCGTGATGGAGAACTCGACATGTGGCCCGGTGACAGTGAGGGTGTTGACCCAAATTTCCGTGATGGAGAACTCGACATGTGGCCCGGTGACAGTGAGCTTCTCAAGCAGTGCATTGAGCGCTTTTTATGTTGATGAGCATATTGTTGGATGAGCATGAGGATGTTGAAGTAAGAGCTTGATATCATCTAGGCTCAACATTTCGGTAGAGTAGTAGATTCAACACACTCATTCTTTTCATTCTGTGAACACCTGTGTACATCACAACATGCACAATTAGTGAGAAAAATGAGAAATGATGTTGAGAACAATTGCCTAGTGAAGTTGAATCCTTTGGTGAGGGTCGAAAACATCAAGATAACCTTTATTAACTTGTTCTTGTGTCCCACCCTTAGTACCCTTTTTTGTTCATACCTGGCGCGTGAGGCAGACGCGTGCATATTCAATTGTACTGTCAAGCTACCTCCGATGGACGGGCAAGACACGACTCTATTTAAGGCTAGTTTTTCGCTATCGCACGTGGACTATGAATGCCCATGTTGCAGAGTGGAACTACCCCTTAAAAATTTAAGTAGGCGAATGAAAGAACTACTCTTCAGGGGGAAAGAACAAGAACTACAGGGAATGTTGAGAAACTCACTCCTCAGCCTCCACGCATATAGCAAGTCTAAGAGGTGGCCTAGCTTTAAAGATCTAGTCAAGAGGCATGCCCAGGATCACAAGCAGTTGAGTAGAGGAACGATTGCGGCTATGTTTGAAGAAGAGAACTTTCATGCGGCCGCTCGTATGCTCCTTAAGCGAGAAGGGGTGCTAGATCCTCGCATCCTGTTTTTGCCAGATTGGTTCACAGGTTGGTCGCCGTTCTGCGCCACAGTATGTCTCGCGCAAGTTAAGGCTAGCGGAGCTGATGCCATACTTTTTCATTTTTATTTTATCGTGTGGAGGTCTATGCGTGTTATTTACCGTATTTAGTGTATTTAATTTTCAATCTAGAAAGATGCAGAAGTCGATGCACAACATGTGCGTTGTAGTACTCGAACGATCCTGCGTGCTGGGGTCTCTCAATTTCAGTGAGAAACTAGATCTAAGCAAGGCGGAAAAAGCTCGAGCCACCAGGCGCTTCTGGAAGAGATGGTGCGATTTCTCAGCGATACAATTGTATGCGAGCGAGACGGTGACCCATCAAGAACGACAACAAAAATCAGCAGCAACTTTGTCGCTCGTGCGAATCTGGCTTATCGCGCTGTTCTCAAGCGACTTCTCATTTCAATTACGCTTGTTCACACGTAAAAAAACTTATCTATCGCTTCTGCTGTTTGCATTGGCAACATTGTGATCTGTCATGCTAAAAGAATACAACTCGAATTTCTTGAATTGATTATTGCACTCATCCTGCATCGACGTGACACGACGACAGCACTGTCGTGCGTGATGAAGCAGAATAAAGTATGCATATGGTTAATTGGGATACTCGCTATAAGACTGAAGTACTATGGCCAGGACGTCTTACGCTCTTCTTCTAGTTCTAACACAAGAGGAAGTGGCAGTCGTGCACCACTCGGGAAAACGCTAGTCAGTCGTGCAGAAGCAGCTGTGGGACAGTCAGCACCTGAACCTGTGTGTGCAGTAGAAAAAATGGCTCGCGACGCGGAAGTGAAAGCTGGACGACCTGCTTTCATGCAGAAAAACTTGGATCTCATCGACAAATTTGAAGAACAAGAGCAGGCGCGTATGAATGTGTTGACGACAACATCAAGGTTATCAAAAATGGACCACGACAACGCACCAGATGGAACAACAACAAATAGAATGGACCACACATCAGCAGATAGTAGAAAGTCATCTGAGCAGTCATCGCAAGCAAAGTCAAACTCGAAGAGAAATACAGGAACAGCTTCTAGTACTAAAACCAAAAATACAACTACTACAACTAAAAAAGCCCCTGGTTGGAGGACTGAGGCCGCAGCTAGTTTATGGGCAGCCAACGCTGAGTATGTAGCGCAAATTCTTCTTCAAATGGACTTGGCGTGGCACAAGGTCCACGTTGAGGCTAAAAAGGAAAGCGGTCTATCCGATCACTGCTCTGAGGAAGATGAAGATGATAATTACTTTGACGACGACGAGCAGTCCTTCAGCAGTGGGAGGACAATGTTGAGTATGAGAACATATTCTCGTTCCGATTTCATCCGCGACGACGACTACTACTTGCGGCCATTATGAAAGGCAGTTGTAGTTCTATCTTAATTTTTTCTTTCATTATGATCGTCCTTGACTAATGTCCTGTTGCTGTTGTTGGTACTGTTCGTCTAAGAAAGTGGACTTTCATTTCGATTTCCCCTGTCCGTTCTTCGAAAGAGGAAAAGGGAAACAACACAGAACCTTGCATGATATTATGCAGTCGCTCAAGCGGACGCGGACACGATGATGAATTTTTTCTAGATTACACATTTACACCAGCTAACTCTAACACCAGCTACTCGCAATTTTCTCTACGAGGGCGTTATGGCCTCGCTTGAAGAGAAAGGCGTCGTGCCTCTGGACATTGAGCAATACTACACGAGCAAGAGCAGCAGTAGCAGCAAAAGCAATAAACCCGCTCCAGCAGAAGTTTCTGTCGTAGACGATGAACGAGTTATGCTTGTTCACACAGGCCTGTGGCAGATCGCATCATATCAACTGTGGCAAGACCTCAAGCATCTTTTTCCCAACGCAGATGCTCCAGTAGATGTAGTCCTCCAAAGACATCCTCCTTTTGCGGATCAAGGTTCTCTTCGTCTATTGATTTCACGAACAGTATCAGTAATATCATGAAGAAATACGATATATAGCGGATCAAGGTTCTCTTCGTCTATTGATTTCACGAACAGTATCAGTAATATCATGAAGAAATACGATATATAGCGGATCAAGGTTCTCTTCGTCTATTGATTTCACGAACAGAAGCCTCTGGGCACAAGTAGCAAGACAGAAGCCAGAGCTTCAACGTTCAACAACAGGAACAACAGGAACAGTCGGCCGACCACTAACAATCCAACAACAAGCTAGACAGGCGGGTAGATCACGTCTGGGAAATCTTAGGCAGCTCGCCGAATAGATTCAAATCATCATATAGCGGATCAAGGTTCTCTTCGTCTATTAATTTCACGAACAGTAGTATCATGAAGAAATACGATATATAGCGGATCAAGGTTCTCTTCGTCTATTAAAAACAGTATCATGAAGAAATACGATATATAGCGGATCAAGGTTCTCTTCGTCTATTAATTTCACGAACAGTAAGATCATGAAGAAACTGAAATACGATATATATTATCCCGAATATGTTGTCCTTGTCGATCTCGATGTGACAACTCATAGTAACGACTTTGTTCTGGTGGTCCAAAGTTGTGGTGACGATGTCTTGGCGACTCGCGGAGAGAGCAGCTCTAGCAGTTGTGCTAGAGGAGAAGCAAGGAGAGAGAAAGGCAGAATTGAAGTGGAGAGACGATGATCCGTACGTCTGAGTACAAATACATGGAGAAAATAGGAAACTGCATAATTAGTATGAGAGGCAGAGGGTACTCGTATTGCTATTCTTAAAGTTCTCCTATTCGTATTCCTCAGAGATGTAGATGAACAGAATTTGGCGAATGGACGAGTTACAAGTTCCACTTTCACACGAGAATGAAGATACTGAAAATGTCGCAGTTCAACAGCACAAGCATGCTACCACAGCGTCGTCGTCGTAGTGAAGACAGGAACGCACTTTCCTCCATCGTGGTCATTTTAAAGGCTACTGGGTTTTTCTGTTACCTTTTGTTCCATTCCGCGTCCGCGCTATTTCTGGAAGACCATAAGATCAATGAGGCCATTCGGCTAATTTTGGATAATCGCGATCTTGAGAAAGCTGCCGCTCTACTCTCGAAGCATGGAGTCGACGCACTGGGTTGTACCACATCATCTAAATCTTCGGAAGGAGCAGTAGGTCTTGAAAAGCAAGATCTTGCTACAAAGAACGTCATTCAACAGTCGCAATCAGACCAGAAAAATTGTCGTGAGCTATTCCATTTCCTTTTGATCGCGTTGAAGGGAGCCAAGAACTACAGGGAATTGGATAGAAAGTTTAGGCAGTGGCGACGCAGCGACGCAGTAGCTAGATTTTGGGACTCTCCACTGAATATCCGCAGAAATGATGAATTCGCACCATCACTACGTGTGCCAGCGCATCCGATCTGGTCAGAAGCAGATACGGTCCCGTTTCCCTTCGTGGAGTGGCTGGAAGGACAAGCGATTGCCAGTAGTGCAAGCGCAAGTACAGCATCTTTATCTAGTAGTAAAGCCAAGAAAGGCAGAGCGTCATTGTGGAATAATGATATTAGGAGTCTCTTTTCGGAGGAGGTAGCGAATGTTGCCTCAGCGAAGGTTGCTAGAGGTGGTGAAGACGAGAAAGGGATTCATCAACCAAGTAATCCTACTTCGGCGTTCGAGGCGTTCCTTGCCCTTAGTGAAAAAGAGCGTAATGCTGCAATTGAGTCTGTCTCTGTCGCTGATGACCAAAAGATCCTCGACAGAGACAAAGGCGAGAGCCTTGGGAAATTGAAGAGCACACTCCTCGAATTGTACGGAGTGAGAAGTTCTTCATCTTCTGGCATCAACGACATCGCTTCGTTGCAACTTCTCAGAGGAAATGGAGAGCCGGTTGCCGAGGCCTGTCAGCTTTTTCCCCACATCTGCCGCGACCTCATGGACCGTCCCGAACTCAAAGTGTGTCCGTACTCCTCAGTATCACTCGTGGTGTCGAAGAGGAACTCCAACTCGAAGAACTCTAGTACAGTGAATAGAGGTATGGACGACTTGGATGAGCAGAATGAGCCTCGACCACTACTACTCGGACGACCAACTATCAGTGTTGTGATGCTCATGCTTCTCGATAAGATGATAAATGAAACTGAAAGCTCTACTAGTAGTAGTACTTTCGACGCAGGACCAGGAGGAGGAGGACCTCCAGGACAAGTTGTGGTAGCTCCGCACCTACGCATCGGCGGAGAAGCAACGCGGTTACATATGGGAAAGCCACTTGTGTTCGATGGGACGACGCCTCACACGTTTGAGCTTCTTTCGACAGCGACACCAGGGGATGATACATCAGATAGTTCTGCCTCTGGCGTGGTATCGATCTGGCTTCGCGTAGATCTGTGTGCACCATGCGCGCAGGAGACAAATCTAGGTCCACCTCACATCAAACCGACAACTTCAACTGTATCCCAACCTGAAAAAGTCAAGCTTCTCGGGCCTAAGATCTATGCTTCCTCTGGAAATCCTTTGTTGCAGTGCAGTTTGGAAGACTTAGCGGTGCAGCCACCTCCTCTAGAACTGATACTGGAAGACGACCGCCGTGCCGCGGAAGCACTAGGGCTGTCTGGGGAGGCAGCTGGCCAGTATCCGTTTGACACAGTCGAGTTCTTTACTGGAAAGTTGAGTTCTTTACAGGATAAGGGTATTGGGGAATCGAATTCCTTGGAAGACGTGGCATCAATACAGACTACTTGTCCATCAGCTCCAAGCTCCATTGACATCGGCGAAGCATGCTACAGTGAAATATGGCGTGCCGCAGGATGTACAGAACCTGCGCCACACTTCAGTGACTGGCATCGTGCTCAATCTCTTGAGGGCTTACGGCACGACTCCGAACAATGGGCGACAATGGACTCCGAAAAACACCGTCAAGGGTGTTATGGATCGACGGCGAAAGCGAAGGTAGCGCAAAAAACTCAGCACCTTGAAGATCGAGATCATATTGAGGTTGCAAAAAGTACTAGTACAAGTAGAACAATGAAAGAGGATGTTAATCATGGCCACTCCGAAGCAGAACGTCAAACAGTCGAAGATACAACAACTACCAAAACTACCAAAACTACTTCTATCATTTCGACCACCGCTTTGCCTAGTAGTACTTCCACAACAACAACATCTATAATATCCGATTTAAGTAAAGAACAGAAGCTTGAATTACTCCGCAATTTGATTCCTGTAATCGACGCACAACGAGCCGAAGCCTATGCAAATTTTTTCCGAAGGATTGAGGAGCTCACGAATCAGCCCAAGCCTGACTATTTCTCGTTAGAACGCAAACCCCGTTTCATCCTGGAACATATGCAACTCGCCAAGACCACTAAACTTCGTGTTCGGGATTACAGGGATGACCGAAATTGCCGACATGCCAAAAACCCTAACTCACGACCGTTCTTGTCAGAAGCACCAGGATGGGCACAGAATGATAACATCAAGGGACGAGCGGACATTAGACATGGTGCTGGTGTTCCTGTTGGGCAAGTAAGCGCTGTGAATCCGAATGTCGTTGGACCCATTCCAGCGCACTATTTTGGCCACGATGCTCCACCGCAAGACCTTTTTGGTGCTGGAGAAGAAGCAGGGTATCTAGTGGGCTCTCTTCTACCTCGAATGGCAGGACTCTATGGTGTTCCAGCTGTTAAGGCTTGCCTTAGTTCATCTTCAGAAGCATGATCTTTGATCGTTATTGTCCATGGAGGTCGTCCATGGAGAAGGAGAACAGCGGTCAGAGATGATTTTGAGAATGAATGTAGGTACGTAAGCTCTAAAGCTAGAGCCTCTTCAGCAGGATCTCCAGGTTTCACATATACTCCTGGAGGCCTTGGTTCTCTGCAACTCGCAAGCATGACCGCAGGACCTGGAGGCGAGCTTTTACCTCCAGCGTCCACTGAACAAGAAATGACAGACATGGAGCAGTTGCAGCAGCTGTTGCAAGGTGCAGTTCTTGGCGGCGATCGTGGCAATGGAGTGAATCTCTACGCTTTCCCGATGGAAGATGAGTGGGGAAACTACGGAACGCCAGTTTTACAAGCAACATTGTGGGCAGCTAGCCAGGTTTTCTCGGGCAAATTCCCCTGTGAGGATCTACAGCGTTGCCCGTTTTTGCCACCTGGACAAGAAGAGTTATGCTGAGACTGGATCATAATTTTTCGCTGGCTTGCAGCTGTTTAACGGGGTATCTAAATGCTGACAAATTTGAATAGCCTCCTTCGAATCTCAATCTTCGCATTCCATCTTGTAGCAATTACCACTCCAAGTATGAGGCTAAGGCATCCAAAAACTTGATCGACGACCGCTTCTAATTTCAGACCCCAGCACATCAACCTCCAAACCTCGTTGCAGCGCGTGGGCTTGTGCACGTACTTGGAGCTACATTTTGAATGGTGTGAGGCTTATTTTTAGAGGCCAAGGACAGCGAACGCCGCCTGTAGTCCTAGAGGTTTTAGACCAAATTGGAGCTATTTTGGGTCCCTCTCCAGAAATGTACCTGCAAGTCGGGCCAGCAGTTAAAGACTTGTGTTATGAGAGGAAGACTGAATCTGAAAAAGAACTTCGATATGGATATCTAGGTTGTAGATGAAGATGATACAACCAGTCGTGTAATGACTATATTTTCTGCAACGTGTATCAGTATCTGTGCGAGCAGCGAGGAATCGGACTAGTACAATTTATTATAGAAGCCTGCGACTTGTTGATTTAACTTGTCAAAATCGTATGATACCATCTCTAATCCTCGCTACAGCTACGTCCACTTCTTGGTATCACGTCTCCTGCTTGCATAAGGAACGAGACTTTTGCTGAATTTTCTGCTACGCCTACTCCCTCAACCTCCTGTACTGCAGACTTGATGAACATGAAAGCCACGACCCAACAAGCACAAGGACAAGCTGCTGAGTTGAATCATCTTCGGCCTCTAGTTCGGACGAGGCCTGCTCCGATGAATCCCCAGGGTGGTGGACAAGATGTGGCAGCGTCATCACTCACAACAACTAGCGAACATCATCGAGAGACGCTGCAAGAAAGTCACGCTGCTCATCAAGCTTCCTTAAATATGCCTCTGGTCGGACTGGATCTGTCTCTCTCCACAGCAGACGACGCAGGCTCAACTCCTGACCTTTCCCAGCTGATTTCTCTTGTATCAGACTGTCTTCGCGATCGTGGCTTTCGACGTATCGACTTGAGGACAGGCCAGCTTGTGCAAATCGCAATAGATGGGATCCGAAAGTCTGGCATCGATCCCGCTGAGGTTGTTCTTCTGCTTCAACTTAGCAACGAAATAGAGGATCATTTAACTCGTATCCACGATGCTTTTGGAGGAAAAATTCAAGGCGCCAATATCGGGGTCATCTTCAATGTTGCTGATTTTTTACAAAATCCGTCGCCACCTCAAGTGAACGCGCCACACTTGATTTCGATTTGGCGAAACGTTGAGGCATTGATTGATATGCGGCGAATCGGATTTCTGGGTCTGCAGCACGATGCGGGTGCTGGTGTGACCGAAGCGCACGCTCGAATGGTTTTAGAGGCGCTTTTGAATGCTCAAGAATTGCGACATAAACCTCATGTCTTTAGAAGTGACACTCTGTTGCACGTGTATCATTATCATCATGCTGTTGAGGACGACGGAGGTGCTGATGGTCACGGTCAGGATCAGCCTCAGATCGCAGGCGCAGACGCATCGTTAGCGGAAAGCAGAAAGAACTTTTGGGATTTTCTCGATGCGCACAATATCGCTTTTCTCGCCACGGATCTCTTGTCCTCAGGTGGAACCCTACTAAAGCCTACAGCTGATCCTCACATAGTCAAAGTCGCCCAATACGTAGGTCGCAGTACTCCGTATGTTCTACACGCTCGAGCTCTGCGTCATTTCGCGCATGTCTCCATCCCTCCGACTACTGTTGCTGCCTTTGCGCCAGATCTGGATGTGCCTGTACTGTTGAGCGGCGCATGCGGAGAACCCGTTGTCGCAGAGATGAAATCGTCACCTGCAGAACAAGAGGCACACAAAGAAGATAGAGATGAGTCTGCTTCCTCATCTGCAACAAGTAGTAGCACAAGCACCATCGTGGATCAAATTCAAATAAAAGGAAACCATGAAAATGGCAGTAGTAGCACGACTACCAACAGTCGTCCGACTACCATAACGACACTGACAGATAACGATAGTTTTCTCAGCAACTCTTGTCGGAGCCAATTATCCGCGAAGCAGATGATGGTGTTAGATGCCTTAGCCTCCCTAGTGGGCAGCACTGGGGCAAAAGTGTACGGAGGAAGTGTGAGCCAAGATCTAGGCGATCTCTATTCACTAGGCGATACTGGGGAGACAACATCAGGGATTGACGAATTGCTGAAAACTCTTCGCAAAGAATCCGAAGTACTACCTGCTTCTTCTACGATTGTAGATCAACAAAGCAGACCAGAAGATGTTGACAAAACTAGTGACCCTTCCAGCACAACAGAGTCAACATCACCGACCGCGTTCAAACTGCAAGACATATGTACGGGAGAAGTGTATCGAATTGGGGAAGAAGAAGGCGAAAGAAGAAGTGACGGAAGAACGCCTTTTCCTGATACAACTAGTACAAAAATAGAACATGAACAAATAAATGTAATGACAACTACTTCCTCATCCTCGTCGCGAAGAAACAGGAGACGCAACATCTCAACAACTTCACCAAGCAAACACACATCCGACACTAGCCCAGGAAGCAAATCATCAAAGAAACCCAAACGCCCTGACCTTTCTTGGGCACAAAGAAGAAATGTAGGGGTAGCTTGTTGGTCCAAGCTCTGGACTCATGTAGGCTGTCTTGAGAGTACAGTCCCAGGGTTTACAAATTGGCATGCAGAACAGACATACATCGCCCTATTGATGGATGCGCGCTCCTGGGCTACACTTGATGATGACATGCATAAAAGAACTTGCTCTGGGACCGTTTGAGTTCTTGATCTTGTTTCAACATGCATAAAAGGACTTGCTATGGGACAGTTTGAGTTCTTGATCTTGTTTCAGACATAAAAAGAATTTACGATAGATATTGTTTTTTGTCTTCTGAAGCGAAAGAGTTTCGTGAATTCTAAGGCCAATGAAGACGTGTCCTTGAGTCTTCCACGACATCTACCTCGTGATGAGAAAGCGCCATGCAGTCGAGGAGCGAATGTGGTACCAAGAACAAGCTGCCTCAAGAAAAAATATAGGCAAAAGATCGTGTGTATCATCTATGGCGCCCTTGTGGCAGTCTGCACTGAACTTTGTGGCGACCTGCGCTAGACTTAAAATCGTAGGGGCATTAGCGTAGTTGTTAAGGAGATTAAGAACTCCCCCCTACGCCGGTATCCACGCGGAAAATACGCAGGTAGGTTTTGACTTATCGGAACTCGCTTGCAAAGTACGCAGGTAGGTTTTGACTTATCGGAACTCGCTCGCACTACAAAAAGAAAAAAGCGAGATAAATTGTAGGCTGGTACTGACTTATCTGAGCTTGCTTGCACAGAGGTTCGGATATATCGGAACTCGCTCACGATACAAAAAAAAAAAAATGTATTGTATTGTATTGTATTGAAATAAAAGTGCAACACATGATCAAAGGATGGCAAATTTTGTGGTCAAGCGGAACATGCCCTATGCACCGAAGTTCAAGTTCTTTGGCATATCCGGGATTCATATCCGACATTTTCACCAGCATCTTCACGAGCGTGGACGCGAACGACCCCCGCGGATTTGCGTTCTCGGCGACGAACTGTCCGGGCTCTCTACTGCCTACCTCTTACAGCAAAGACTGGGTCGAGATCGTGTAGACGTGTTTGTAATCGGGTTCGAAGACGGTTCCGCACGTAGATGCGGCATGCGAAGCGAATGGGTGAAGAGTGTGCCTCAGACGAGTGGTGGATTTAGTGGAGCAGAGGACGAAACCGAAATGAGAGGCTCTTCTGTCTTGCTAGAAAAGGGCATGTATGGTTCCATCCTGAGCAATCGCGCGGGTCGAGAGGCATTGGGGCTCGTGAAAAGACTGGGGATAGAAAAGCATTTGAGGCTGGCGGATCCGAGGGAAAGTTCGGAATATCTGCTCAAGTTGGAGAGAAGGAACGGGACATTCTGGTTGCAACGAGCCCTCTCTGCAAGACATATTTTCCGATATGGTTTCAGTTTTCTGGCTGATTTGGTACGTGGCTTTTTGCCCTGGAATTGGTCACTTCTTTTCGCAGGTGCAGCGGACCTCAAGGGAAAAGACGATCTTCCTTGTTTGAGTCGCTTTGTACGGGCTCGATTCGGAAGTGGCATCGCTAAAACGTTTCTTGACCCGGTGGTTTATGCCACGTTTGGAATTCCTGTTGTGGAGGTGGACGAGAGGAATACGGCGAGAAGGAGCAATCAAAATGAAGATCGTGTCGAACAACAAGGACTACAATTCGCTCTATCGACGCACTACTCGTTCCCGCGTCTTCTAGAAAATGCTAAACGCATGACCACATATTCAGGAAGCTCTCTTTGTTCCTTATTCTTTCCTGGCTCGGTGCTGGCAGGAGGGGTGTTGAACTCGTTGTTCTCGACAAACAGCAGTTGGCTTTGCCTACGCGGAACCGACCCGTTGCTACTTCAGGTGTTGCATAAAAAGGGTCGATGCTTCTCGTTTTACGGTGGTTTGGAGTATTTGGCAAAGGCATTAGAGTGGGAACTGATTATGCCCTCTGGGAAGAAGAGTATTAACGACTCTTCTACTTTGCTCCGGTCGGTTGAGACACAGACTGAAGAACCACTCGCTACAAAGTCGACGAGTGCGCTACGAATCTTACCAGGACATACTACAGGTAGTCCTAGTCGTGGAGGAGGAGGAGGAGGAGCTACGATGCGTTTTCCACGAAGCATGTTGTCTGATACGGAAGACTACGGAGAGAAGCTAAACCAAGAGATGCTGGCTTGGGAGGCGCGCGTCGACAGTTTGTCCAAGAGGGATGTCAGTTTCTTGCCAACAGCAAGAGATAGCAGGAGCAGAAAAAGCAAATTCCCTGAAAAGAACCTAACTGATTTCAGTGAAAACAATTCGAGACTTTTTAAACTGCGAGACAACTGTTGTCCCTCGAACGCGCAAGAAGAAGGAAAAGTACTTGAAATCCCTGATATCGACTGTATCGTTTCCGCTCTTCCGCCTGCTGAATTTGCGAAGCTTTTGCCACCAGCTGAAGAAGTAGATGGCGATAGGGATAGGGAAAGTGACAGTGGCAATAATGTAGTTACCGAGCTCCGCAACCTACTCAATTCCTTCCCTGTCCAAAAGTGTGCCGTTGTTTCCGCTACGATCGATATGTCAGAAACAACTATGAAAAAGAAAAAGGAGAAGAAAACACTTTTTAGAGGAGGCGGTTATTATGCAGCATCTTCGTCTCTAGTGTCAGCGGCGGTCTTTCAAACACGATTATTTCCCAACGTTGACGTGAATCGCACGAACAATATGGCGGAATCGCAAAAGACCGAAGTTGCAACCTTTTTCGTGCCTTCACCTTCTAGCACTGAAGGCGAAGATGTAGCAAAATCGAATAAACCGTCGTCTGCTATAAGTGTAGTCCAAAACGAGATCCAGAACTTTCTCGGCTTGGTGAAACCAACGACGCCAGACAGAAAAACCAAGACAGAACCTGAATCAAAAGCGGAGCGATCTCGTCTTTCACTCTCCGCAACTTCTCACAAATACGGCTACCCTATCTACGAACATAAAAAGCATGCTGAACGACTCCAACAAGCTACAAAGTTAGCACGCCAGGTCTTTGGCGTAGACGACTTTCACTTTGTTGGCAGAAATTTTCATGGTCCTAGTCCGGCTGAGGAAATCGTTGATGCTCGAAAGATCGTAGACAAAATAGCAACAAGATACCAAAGAGCGCATATGATGCACCTAGAATTGTGTGGGACAGCTTGAACATGAACTTGAAGCTTTCCTCGGGCAACATGCGTATAATTTTCAAATCTAGAAGTAAGTTCTACAGCAACGTAAGTAACAAAAACAGTTGCAAATGCTGGCGCGTCCTCAACATCGTCTCCCCTTCCGCTTACGTGGTTCAATTGAAGAGTGTACTCTTCCACTTTGAAGAAGAACTGCGCATCCAGCTCTGGTAGAAATTAACGAGGTCGTACGTAACCCAATCGAGTTCATCGACATCAGAAATTGTACCGAAAATCTGACGTCATAGATCATAGAGAAGTGCCTCTGCTCGTGCTGCCACGTAAAACTCATAGAATAGTGCAGAAGTTAGCTGTTCTTCATCTAGTAGGCGTAATTGTAGTTGTTGAAGCTCTGAACATCAGTCAAAGATCAAATTATTGAAAAAAATGGTCACCGCTACCGCAACATCTTCCGTACAAGAACCTCTGCTGGTCCCAGCAGTCAGCGAAGTACAAGAACCTCTGCCGCAACAAGCCACGTTGTACTTCGCTGACTGGGATGCGGATTCTGCTGCTCTAAAGCGAAGCCTAGACGACAACAAGTCGAGTTCGACAACGTCACTTATTCTCAAATTTGCCAATGTGGATGATTTGGATGCGGACCTCGATGACTTATTCCCAGACGCTGGCGCGGATGACCTAACACTGCCGTTTGTTACCTTGAAAGAAGGTTCTGTAGACCTTTTTCTGTCGAGAAAAGAGTTGTGGCCTTGCGGTCTCAAGGTTGGTGGCAGTGGTGGGAGTGAGATTTATGCTGGAAGAAAATGAATTAGACTTTGACCTCGTACTCGTTGTGCTGTGGAAATATCTTTCCCTGTGCAGTCGTCTCTTTCTATGATCTTCAAGACAGTCATCTAATTCCCGTCCACTTCCTCCCATTACTAATTCCCAGCCTCGCAATTTTTCGCAACTTTGTCGAAACAAGGAGCGCTTTCGGCAGCTCAAGACAAATACCGACAAGCAGCTCTGGGCAAGGATATTGTTGGTGGTGCAGTGGCAGGTTGTTGTAATCCTGGCCGTGACTACAAGGCGGTCTCGCTGCAATTGGGTTTAAGGCGCCACTGGACTTGTGATGATAATTTATAGGGGTGTCCGGTCCAGGATGGGATGGAACGGATGGACCTCCCACCATTTCAAGTAGGGCTATCAAGTTATTCATTGATCGCGAATTACTTCCCGCCGTTACTTCACACGATGATCTTTCTAGTTTCTACTACAACTGGCGTATTATTACCAATTTACTTAAATCCTCCGAGGGGGGATTATCCTCGTGTTCGCCCATGATCCCGTCATCTTCTAACAACCTATTCCGAAGCCGATGTGCAGGAGGAAGCAAACCTTGGCCTCGGGTGTGGCGACCCACGCTCGTTCGCGAAATTGCAGACGGGTGAGACAGTGATGGACCTGGGTAGTGGACCAGGATTCGACTGTTTCCTAGCAGCAGACGTGGTAGGCGAGACAGGTTTCGTCATCGGCGTAGATATGACGCCAGAAATGATCCAGAGAGCAAGAGATGCAGAAAAAACGAGACGGAAGAAAAGACAACTACTAGATCTAGAGGGACAGGGAGGTCCTCAATCTACTTTAAATGGAGATCCTCAGAACTGTTGTCCTCCATCTTCAAAAAAAGCCAAAGCTCAAAAATCCTCTTCATTCGCACCAGTGGAGTTTCGTCTGGGAGAACTCGACAATCTACCGTGTGGCGACAGCTTGGTCGATGTGGTCATCTCGAATTGCGTTATCAATCTATGTACGGATAAGCGACGCGTGTACCGCGAAATTGCAAGAGTTCTGAAGCCAGGGGGCCGCGTGGCCATTAGCGATATCGTCAAGCTGTCGGAGGACGAATTGTTAAGATTGAGATCACCTTGAACACTTTTCCAATTTTTGTAAATATAAGTAAACAATAACAACTTCAACTAAAAATACTAAGTACCTTCATCACATCGTCAGCTACTTCCTCACCTATGATCTCTAAATCTACCAGCCGCCTTGAAGAGTGCCGAAAGCTATGCTTGCTGAGTCGGGGGCGCGGCTGGGTCCTCGAAGGTACAAGCCGATATTGAGGCTGCTGGATTCGTCAACGTTTCTGTCCTAGTCAAAGAGGAAAGTCGGGATGTCATCGCCGGATGGCTCCCTGGGTCCGGTGCTGAGAAATACGTTGCTTCCGCACAAATTACTGCGACGCTGCCTAAATAGAGAACATTCTTGCTGGATGAAGATGTCACTAGAAGTAGAACTAGAAGTAGTCTATTGAAGGAGTAGAGAACATGATTGCGTGATGATGTCACTAGAAGTAGAAGTAGTCATCTATTAGAGCAGGAGTTCTTAAAAATCTTATTAGGTAGTCTTTGTGAATGTGATTGTGAGGAAGCAGCACGAGCAGATGAAGTAGATGTGAAAAACAACGATCTTCCTGCCGCGAAGACTGTAAACCATGATGCAAACCATGCATCGACCTACACAGGAGGAGGCTTTTGAACCCCTAGGTAGCGTCGATTAGAAGTAGAGATGCTTACTTTGTCTCCATCGTCTTCATCCTTCAATTTTGCCAACAACACAGTAGATTGAATATTTTTATTTGTGCCTTTTCATTGCGTGAAGACAATCTTGATTTCCTTCGCTCCCTTTCAGTGGCTTCATCTCTAATGTCACTAGAAGGACGCAGATTGTCTGATTTTTTGATGATATTACTCAATGAATTACAAAGAAGTGTCGAAAATAGAAGATAGACGTCAGATGATGGGTGTCGTGCTTGTCATATATATTACCTTTACGTAATGAAAGTACAAGTAGTGGAAGATAGCTGTGCAAGAGGTGCTCAGTCAGTTATCCCTGACCTCCTCGCGCCTCTGCTTTTTTTCAGTTTTTTCAGGTTCGTAATTGTACCCTCCCCCCCCTGTTTTTTCTGATAGTACATGATAGACTGATTGCTGCTCAGCAAGTATTCTACCTCTAGGTCTTGAATAGCTCACTTCGAGCACTGTTATCTCCGCTGCGAAGCTTATTACCTTTACATAATGAACCAGGCGAAGCCGGTCCTATCCCCCTATTCATTGATCTTCTGAACAAACAGCTCTTGTTGGTCCGTACCTTCTTCATCTAGCCGGATGCTGAACTTGTCTTCACCTGAGCTTAACCTGATACACGCAGTCATCAAGAATCACTATCAATCCTGTCAACCCCTCCGCGGATATGATTTTGGTTGTGTTCGTTATGACGAAGATGAAACGATAGGAACAAGATCCAAGAAAAACTATGTGAGTGTGGGTACTAAGAACGTCCTTGTAGCACTTCGGTGTAGCACTTCTACTTACGTAGAAGCATTTATTTAGCAAGGACTCTATTCACATGATTCTGATTTTTGGCCTAATTGGTTCCTGAAAGAAAAAGATGAAATTCCTTTTTGTAATCTCCACGTTCGTGTCGTTCCTCCTATCTGCTTCCTTGGGTACAAGTGTGATTGGCTCCGGAGAGCCTAGCAGCGCTGAACGCTCCTCGTCGTCCTCGTCCAGTAGTAAAGATGTTCATCTCCAAAGAACTCACAATAACCTGAAGCTGAACCCGACGAAAAAAGAAAAACGCCAGTTATCAGCAGTCGACGATATCAAGCATGATGTGAGCAACGCAGCATCATGGCTAGCAGCCTTCTGGCGCAATCACAGCATCCCCCTACTGGAGAACTCGAAGTTGCCAGAGAGACTCTGTCTTACCAGAAAACCACCATGCACATTGCAGTTAAGTCCCAGCTACTTTGCTAAAGTAATAAGTTTACTTAAGTAAGTACTGTACTTTTTTTACGACGTAGTGGTATTAACTCAAAAGTTAGCGCCGGTTTTTTTTCTCTGAACATTTAGAGAACCTCCAGATTTATGCATGTTGCTTTATTTCCTCATCTGGTGGTGTAGGTGTTCGTCATCTAATTCTCCAGTTGCTGTCGGAAAAGGGAGACCAGCAGACTTGTGATAGGCGAATTGTGCCGTGCGGGACGTACCAAAGCGATGAGAACCGAGGTGCCTTAAACTCCTACCTCCGACGAAATGGGAATATGCGTCTATTCGTAGTGGGAGGACAGAAAGGCGACAGCGACGCTCCGTGTTCCGAGCCTGGAGGTCGAATAGATCCATACGCAGACGCGTCAAGCACGATTTATCTAGTGCGCTTCCAACCCCCTGATCATGCAGTTTGCTGGGAGGTATAGTTTGACTATGTTGGCCGCAGGTGCGGCATGCTGCCTCCGCCGGAAAAACGGGGAAGGCTCTAGAAGTGAGCGCCGCCCCCTTCGGGAAGCCAAAGCGGTGAACAACAACAAGCGCAAGGAGGTCAGGGGCGCCGGCGCCTCCTGGCGGCATACGGACGATAGACGCCCAAGCGGCGCCGCGAGAAAAGTCGTCGAGGGAGCTTCCCCGCCCGGTGGACAGGCCTACCGCTGTCGAGGCTCGGAGGTCTGACCGAGCACAGCGCCCAAGCGAAAGCCTTGGGAAAGGCATGCCACTGGCGCAGAGAAAGGGGGGCGCCGCTCTGCTCTCTTTAGGGGGACTTGTGGATGGTAAGCTGGTGGCTACGTACGCGAGGAAATCCAGCGCAGAGCGCGGCGAAGGCTGTGCCCCGGTGTCTTATATCAAAACACCTCGCGCGCCGTCAGTGCGCAAGGCTCTCAAACTCGAGGGGCTGGCGCATGCGCGCCGAGGCGGTTAGCGCCGACGGCTCACATATGAGATATGAGGGCGCCGCGATCTAGCGGGCCAGACTATTCCCGCCTTTCGAGACGTGAAGCCACTCGCCCAGCTCTTTTAGCGGCGAAGGTGGTGGCTCTGGGCGATAGCTTGAAGGCTGTAAAGCTGCCAAAGGTCGGCCCTCGAGCGTCTGTGGAGTCAAATTAAAACGCGGAAGCGAGTCACGACCCTCGAAGACGTGCCGAGAGGGGGGCGGGGCGAGGTAATAGGGCGGGCAGAAGCGGGACAGGCTGAGGCCAGGCATGACAGGGCGGCTGGCCTGGTCGCTTTTCTTCGAGCAGAAGCCAAGCGCACCCGCGCCGGCGCCGGCCGTCGGGAGTCCAGCCACCGCGCTGGAGGTTTTGCGGGTTGTCTTGGTGTAGTGCCTTGTCTTGTGGTATTCCCTCCCGCAGAGGCCTCGCGGTGGGTTGATTATTTAACCATCGGCTTGCGCCAGGCAGTCTGTCGGCCCCAGGTTTTCTTTTCAGTAACGGCGCATAAGCGTCACCTTTTCCCGCTGCTGAGATTCTGTCTTTCATTTCGCAAAGGCTCCCGGGCTCGTTTTGATGTCGACTACGTCTACACTAATGCCTACCTCACCAAGCGCAGAGTTTTCTGTGCCCCGGCTGGTGGTTCTCTGAGTGTGTGACTCTAGGGGGTGCGCTTTGGCGTTGCATGTCAGTGATATTACCACTTCCGCCCGCTCGTGCGCTGGCGTTGCGCTAGTCGCAATCTTTTAGCTGCTTTGACGTTGACCACACAAACAAACGCCAAGGACATGCCATCTTTCCACATGCTTTGACTTACATAGGTTTTGGTGCGTGCTGGTGAGTGCTGGATTGGCGAGAACTCTCAGGAGAGGAAAACGGAGCATCGATTCGGCTGCCTTGGAAGGTGTGGCGGTGGCTGTGGCGCACATTTCTGCAGCAATTGGGGTGCCAATTGTCTTCGCGCTGACGTCTGTGCGTATTTTCTTGGTGTTGAAGACTGCGCCAAGTCTGTCCCCGGAGCTTCTTCTTACGTGCGCTGGCTACTGTCAGGCCCCCTACCTCCTCGTCCTCGAGCTGCATCTCTTGGCCGTTTTCTAAGTAGCTAAAAATTTACAGGCAAGTAAGGACTCAAGAAATACACCAATTACCTAGTTGAGCTTGGTACTTTTAGGCTTTGCGTTTTCTGATATTTTACTAGAATCGGTGAATTCCTTTCCTAGAATCAGAGCAATCTGTTCCTAGAATCGGACAATTCCGCTCCTAGAATCGGACAATTCCGTTCCTAGAATATGGAAGTTTTGCTCCTAGCAGACAAATCTTAGAGATTTGGTTGGGAGCGTATGGGGGGCACAAATCCTATAGATGTCGTCCTCCACGCGGGCGCCCCCTGGAATTCGTGGCGCAAGCCCGAAACCAACGGATCTGAGCATCCGAATTCTATAGGTCTCGCAGTGTTTTGCTGTCGATAACGAGCGTCTTGATGACCTCCGAGTCCAGCCCTGCGTGAACGTGAAGCTGAAGTTGACTGAGAGAAGCGGAGTGCTTTGCTGTTGATAACGAGCGCCTTTATGGCCTCCGAGTCCAGCCCTCCTGCAAGAAGTGACGACAATACTACTAGGTATATACTTCGAAAGTGGAAGCAATTAGGAATTAAGTGCCTGAGTCGCTCCTTGCAGAATGCAGGCGCAGATGCAGAGCAAGAACTTCTGCAGCAGAAGCAGCTGCAGTTGCAGCAGCGCTAGTAGTCACATCGAAGGGAGGTTAGGTAGTGCTAGTGGCAATGGCAGACGCAGATCGAATGTTAATAGCGACCAGCCTCGCTCCGTCTTCGTGTTTAGATCTCGGCCTTAGCTTCGTTATGGTATCGTATCGAGTGGCATGCAGATTCTCGCGCTTGTCGTTATCGTTCGTTAGAACCTCTTGCCATTTATTTTCGTTTTTGGTAGCTCAGTGCGCGAATTGCATTTGCATACGCATTCCCTTGCTATCTCTTACATTTTTTTTATCGAAAATTAATCGTAATAGTAACCGTAATCGTATCGACTACGAGTACGACACCGCGATCGCCTTCGTTGTGCCTCGCTTGTTGTTGTCGCGTCGCGTCTAGTCGAGCTCGAACAATATAGGCTGCGTGTGTGAGTATGTATAATGAACCACGTATGTCGATGCGGGTGCTTCTGTGCGCATTAATTGTCCGTGGCTAATTCGAACTCTATTAGATTTAGAAGGTAGCTGTAGGTGTAGGCCTAGCATAGACCTAGAGACACACAACCACAATCCTACCAAGTTCTTGACTAGCGTTTTTTTTTTTGGCAGAGAATTGGAGGTGATATACGTGGCCACTGTCACTCCGCGGAATTGCTACCATACATGTACGCCAGCCCTTGTCGCTCTGGCTCTCTCTGGCTCTGACTTCTGGACATGCTTCTGCAGGTGCAGCTCTTGTGCCTGCTTTAGCAACATCAGCATCAACATCGACACCGACACGCACCGAAACCGACACCATGGACGCGGTCCAGTTTCGGAGCTTGCTGTGTCGCGAAATTGAAAGGGCGGAGGACGTGGCAGAGGTATTGGAACAAGCTCGGGGGATGTACTCGCAGCATCTGAGACTGAAAGCCGAGCGAAATGGCAGAGGAGGCGGCACGGTATTTCTTGCTTTTTGTTCAGAAGTTTATATCTATGATAATAATTATAGATGTTGAATCTCAAGCGAAAGCGATGCCATCCGCGTCCTTGCGTGGGCATAGCTCTGGTTGATCATTGGTCCGCTCTCTATTTCGTTCCGGTCACTACTTTGCCACCCGGCTTGCTAGTCTCTGCACTATCTTCCGTTCCGCGCTTGGTTTCGTTTTGTTCTCTATTTCGTTCCAGCCTCCACTTCGTTCCATGATTTGAATGTCTCCTGTGATTCTGTAACTCGTATGCTCTTGCCTCTATTTCGTACCAGTCTCTGTTTCGTTCTACTTCTACTCTCTATTTCGTACCATTCTATACTTTGCACTCTTTCCATTACAGTAATTGCATACGCCACAAAATCAAAACTCTAGGTCACTCCAGCAACGAGCACAATTTACAACAAACGAGGACGCACACCAGAGTGGCGAGACAAATCGTGGAAGGACATCGCAGAAATCTACCTTCGTAAATTGTATCACATCGAGGACGTGGATGTGGATGGGCATGGGCAAGGAAGCGACAGGGGTGCGAATGGTTTTGCTGGCGCTTTTTCATTCTGCGACAGGCGGAAGCACATCCAGCCAAAGCAGGAGGAGTCGGACGACTTGCGCCTGGCAAGCGGATTGGCAACAGAACAAATTCAGCAGCCCGGAGATGATGATCCCCGAATTACGAACTATATCCGGCTTCGTTGGAGCGTCGGCGGCTGTCGAGGCACAGCGCCACAACTGGGCAAAGCGCACAATCGAGCCCTCGGCTACGATGCTAGCCGCCTGCCAGATGGGTGCCGTAGA